GGGGACAAACTTTCAAATTTTCGATTTGCGCCCCCCCCCCCCTCAAGTTTTCGATTTGCACCCCCCCCTCAAGTTTTTCTCTATATATTTTGCTATTTCTTGCCTTGGTGTCACCCCCCTAAATGGTGTCACCCGGTGCGGTCCGCACCCCCCGCCCCCCCCCCTCGCTACGCCCCTGGTTAGAGGTATTTTATACTATTGATGTCTTAAGTAGCTTCCTTTTACCATACCGGTAGTTGTCTCAAGTAAAGTATTTATATAAATACCCCATCCTGGTGGGAATTTTTGTATTAAATACCTTCTAAAATAGAACCCTAAAAAAATATGGACTACTTTCTCCGCTTGGGCAGCTCCTCCTAAAAAGCCCTCCCCCCCCCCTTCGCGTCCCTACACACACCACATATACATACATAAACATCCGTCCAATTTGTATCAACAATTACAAGAATCTCGTTTTCTACACTTTGTTTTCATTAAAAAAATTAATTATTAAAATCTTGGCAAAACAATATTGGCATTTTTAAAGGCATATGTACGTGTTTCTTTTTCATTGCATAGAAGCATTGCATATTTTTAGGGTATACTTTTAAAACACGTTACTCTAGAAGTATAAATAAACCCTGTTTATAAAATGTAATTTATGATGAAAACCAAAATAAGGGACGTTTATTTCAACTAAACACGATGGTTTAACCTATTCTAAATCTTGAAGCATGTGATTGGTTGGAAGGGAAGGTGGGCTGAAACACCTGAAGCAAATCTTTCTGTCGCAATACAAATACAGGTGTATCAAATGTAGAGAGAGTGGAGGCTCATATAACGTGCTGGGTTGTTTAACAAAACTTATCGTAACGGTAAGGGGGGAAGTACTTGGAGAGATCAAATAGGTAGAGTGGAAGGGCTGGTTTTATTTCAGTCACGGATATACGTGAAGCTTACGGTAAGCTTTGTTTACTATCACATTAAGGTTTCTGGTAAGCTTTATTTAGTATTACATTTAAGGTTTAAATTTCGTTTAGTATTACGTTTAAGGTTTAAACTTTGTTTAGTATTACATTTAAAGTTTAAACTTTGTTTAGTATTACATTTAAGGTTTAAGCTTTGTTTAGTATCACATCTAAAGTTTACTGTAAGTTTTTTTAACTAACATATTTAAAGGTTAACGGTAATCTTTGTTTAATATAACATCTAAAACTTATGGTAAATTTTGTTTAGTATCACATTTAAGGTTTACGGTGAGCTTTGCTTATTATCACATTTAAGGTTAACGGTAAACATTAAATAAAAGACAGCTGAAAGTGAATGTAATGCGGGTTGCTATTCAAAATGAATTTAAGTAAGGGGATACAAGTAAAAATATATAGCTATAGGGTATACTATATGGTACAATATGTTATAAAAATTAAGTGTTCGTTATTTTATTCGTTCATAGTGAAAAGCTAATAATCAAACTTTCTAATTATTAATGAAGCTTTAATTTCCAGATAAAAACGTTACAGAAAATGCAAAATGTCTTATTTTTTTTTTTAATTTATCGTGTACGAAGTATAGATGAAGTATTGTAATCTTGCAAAAATCGAAATCGAGTGTTTCACACATCTCGCTGTTTTACACCTCTTTGAGTCGGAAAAAACATAGTTTTACAATTTTGTCCGTATGTCTCTACGTATGTGTGTGTGTCGGTCTGTCTTTGTGTTTGTGTGTGTGTGTCTGTGTCTGTGAACAAGATAACTTAAGTACCGTTCCGGCTAGAATGACGAAATTTTATATATAAGTATTGTATAAAATTTGTAGAGGTTTTTTTTTTCAACTTTTCAGAGATTTCCAGTTACCGGAAGTGGATTTTTTTTTTCAAAAGCACATAACGTCAGTACTGTTTCAGATAGATAAACGAAAATTAATACATAAGTAAAAGATCTAATTATATGCATTCAGTCAAACTTTGAGTACCTTTCTATTAAGTACTAATAATATTCTGCACTATTATACACACATTGTTTGCTGTTCACTTTGTACGCAATTCCTTTATAGATCAGTGTAGTTAATGACTAAAAATAGTTATAGATCACTGTAGTAAAGAACTAAAAATAGTCAACCGGAAAGATTAGTGATTGGGACGAATACGGACTTACATTAATAAAAGACATATAATTATTGTTGGATTGATGATGGTCCTAATTTATTTTATTTAAGGATAAATAGTTCATACTTTAGTTAAATTTTCATAAATTATTAATTATCAAACAGTAGGCAGAAACAAATATAAATGCTTGAATGAAAAAACACAACAAATATAATTTAAAAAAAAAACATTATAAAAACGAGCTATTAAAAGCAAAGAAAATAAGAACACAAAAACAAACTTGCTTTCATTAATCTATTGTGATCATGACACGGATATACCGGCTCAGGAGTTTGACTCCCATTAGCCAGACAGGCCTCGACATCGTGAACTCCGACTAACTGGCAAATTGTGGACTGAATCAGTCTCACGAAGATGTTGGTTTGAAACACTACATGTTGGTCATCCGTAGGCTCTCACCATGCTTTACTTCCCCCACCACCAGACGCGGGACATCGTACTACCGTCTGTTACCCATCTTGATCGACACTGTTAAAGCGAAAAGTCCCGAGTTCGAACCCCCGGGCAGATGAAACTTGATAAATTGGCATTGCAACCCATTTAGGAGAGAAAATCCAAAATATTTTTTTTTTAACTGAAAGCTTGGATTTTGTTCATGGAAGGACAAAGACTTTAAAAGTAAATCCAAAATGAAAAACAGGCTGAATTCGGAGTCATCGGCCTACACGGGGCATACCTTGATGACAAGCAATAGCGTGTTATTTGAAATGTTTTTATTTATTTATTTTTCTTTACATCAAGTGAAATAAAAATTGGTATGTGCGTAGTATCAGCACATCAGATTAGCTAATTCGGGGCGGTGGCCTTAAACTCAGCTCATCTAGGATCTGAACCTTCTGTAAAAAACTTTTCTCATTCATATCCAGAATAACTTACTTAAACTATTTAAACTAAGTGATGCATCAACGTCAACCAAGACTAGAAATGTAAACAATGTCACGTGAGATTGATCTAAGATAACAATCTTATCACCAATGGGCGAGATTGTTATCTGCAGCTACATTGACATGAGTCACAGATAAGATGTTCAACAAGGATGTAAAAACTAGACGTCATAAAACATGACAAATCGCCCGCCCGTTTATCCAAGAATAAACCTTAAAGTTTGGATAACGTAATCGTTGGGTTTTTTTTTAACTCCTTCAAATTTCTGATTGATTACTTTACTGCCGTTCAAATCAAAGTGTTTTTTTTTTGCTCAGTGTTATGTCTCGTAACTATTATGCTAGTAAGTTCTAGCTAACATTTACTAATTATCGATTTCGGTAAGTATATTATTTATTAACAAAAATACTTTTCATGAATCAACGTATCTGTAGTCAACATCAACAGTTTCTCACAATCATAATGAAACCAGATCTTAAACAAGCAGACCATTTTTAAATGTTTTCAGATTTTTCTCTAGACAGCTAGAACAAATGAAAATGTGTTTTTGTTTTTATGTTTAAAAAAATATTAATTTTAAGTTGTAGAATTTTTCAAGTAAATATACTTCGACAAGTTCTTACTTATAACTTACTGCTTACACAACAAAATGAAACTCATAATACAAATCGGCTACTCGCAATCTAGAAAAGAAAGAGTAACATTCAAATTTCTAAAATTTCACTCTCTTTTCTTACTTAATTCCCGTCATCATTCAAACGAATTTTTTTTCCTTGCTCAAATAACTATTTCTCTATTACCACATATAATCTTGCAAACAGATTATCTACCACTAAGCCATAACAAAACGTCTACAACCATAAAAATAATAGAATAAAAAGACTTTAAGGAAGTGAAAGACTAGAACTAGAACACTCCTTTAAGCAAACCTAGGTCTAAATACCAGACACAAGAGCTTCGAGAAACATCAAATGGTTTAAACAAATAGCCTCTGTTAAACATAGGTAGGCTAAATCAATACAACGTTTACCACATTGTTTGTGGCACTTCAAGCAAATATAGGGACTATAGTACCGAACTCGGACGTTTAATCTTTAATTCTAGGCCAAATGGACTAATTTTAAGAAATCGAACACTAATGGCATGCTTACATTTCCTTTTTGAATGTATTTGTCGCAAATATAAACAATCACGCCACATAAATATATAAGTTACATTGAGTTAATATAAACATTATTGATTTTTAAATTCTTTATTGTTATTCAAATTATAGCCAACAATCTGTTTAACATCATAAAATCACACAAGCTTACACGTGCACATTCACTCACGTACACACTTGCACCACGTTTGTATATTTATTATACACAGCTAAACACTTCTATATTTATACATATATATATATATATATATATATATATATATATATATATATATATTTAATAGGCACAGAACTACTGTATATAAAAGTTGACTGCAATGAGGATAGTGTTTCTGGCTGTTCTCTGTTTTCTATATAGTGTTGTATCAGGTAAGTTTAGAGATATGATAAAGAAGATAACATTTCGTCGAGCTAACATTTAAACAAGAACGTTTCTATTGCAACTTGGCACGTATTAACGTCTTATCAGATGTTCTTGGTGTGAACTAAACATTCGTCTTCTTTAATTTTAGTAAATGTAGGCCTATTAACATGGTCGAACAGCTCAAACATCTACAAGTGTAACTGTGTCACTCAACAATGTGGAGGTCACACACCATGTCCAGATGGTCAGTGTTCTCCATGGTGGTTTGGTCCTGCCTGCCAATACCGTGAGTTTTACAGGGTTGTTTTTTTTTAATTAAATGGCCATCTTATTCGTGGTTTCGTTCTTATTAAATGTTTTTACTATGCTAAAGAATCTGTTTAATGATTATAAAAAAGACAATGTTCAAAATGTAGGTAACTGAACCGCACGATATCTCCTTACAGAAAATCTCCTAAACGAGAACTACACAACAGGTGCAGATAAAAAGTTATACGATGGCAAAGACGACACGTGTGTTAGTGTAACGGGCTCGCTTGATATAACATTTAAAACATCCTACCTGTTAACATGGTTACGGTTTACTGTTAAAGAAGGAGGTGATTATAACTTCTCTGCTTAATCTAATTTTATTTTGTTGCTGTTTCGAATTGTTATTCAAGCAATAAAAATATTACGAAATGAAATAGTAATTTTTAGAAGGAACTAGTAATGGATATTTGCAAGAAGAAACAAAAATCCTAAACTATGTATTTTTTATGTTTAAATTTTAAAGGCAGTAACAAAGACAACTTTAGCCTAACGTTCAAGAACAACACACCCGACTGGACAATTCCATGCAACAAACTAAACACCAACGTAGTCAACAACAGGACAACGGACGTCTGGTGTAATATGAACCAAACAACAAATGCTCTCAAGTTGACATGGGACAAACCCATCACAATTTGTTCGCTCTATATCAGTGGAGGTCTGCTAATGTCAAGCCTACACACACACACACACACACATACATATATATATATATATATATATATATATATATATATATATATATATATATATATATATATATATATATATATATATATATTGTTGGGCTAAGGTATTGAAATTTTATTTAAAATTTCAATTCCTCCCAAAACATCGTCGAAGAATGTTTTGCTTAACATCGATATTGATTGGAAAAAAGAGTTAAAAGGGATTTTAAGTACACATTTGTGAACCCGCCAAGAGAGGAGAAGGGGTGACACTATGTGGTAAACATGCTTGAGAAAACAATGCTACATCTTGCTGTTATTAAAAAAAACCGACTCTAGATAAACAGCATAAAAATTAAATGTAAATTATTTAAAGCTTTTACCAGAGGGGTGGGGGTGAAAACAACTGCAAAATTGACGGGGGGAAATAAGGTGTGACACCGTGAAGTACAGCACCGGGTGACCCCAGACCTAGCGACGCCACTGCCTGTTTATTCCTTAAACAAAAATGAAACCGCCGATATTTGAAAGTAATGTGTGATGGACGGCAAGGGGATACAACCCACAAATCTATGTTGAAATTACACACAGCTAACATAATGTCCATCTGTATGACTTCATACTTTGTGAAATACTTTAGATGTCGACTTGATAAATACTACCATCAAATAATTCCCTTAGAGTTATTTTAAGCCAAATAATAACATAACTGTATACCATACATTTTCCAGCCGATGTACAGTAAATAATAATCTATATCTATCTATATATGTAAAAAGCAATGTATGTTTGTGTGTGTGTGTGTGTGTCTGTCTTTTATGCATTACTACACCTCTCATCACATCGCTATAAAACTTTGGGAAGTTGTTGTGAATATACCTGGGGAGGTTTCTGCGCTTTTTTTTTTCTTTTTTTAGATATATAAAAAAAAGTCGATTTTTTTCTTTCTCTTTTTGCGGTATTTAAAAAATAAAAAATAAAAAATCTTTGTTTGACACCATTCATCCGATAGCCATCAAACTTTGGTGAGTTCATTAGAACACTTTGGGGAAAGGTTATGTAAATTTTTAATTTCACAAAGGCGGCGCCACGGGAGGGTGAGATTTTTCTCTATATACCGTATATAAAAATAATAAAGACACACTTCTCTCCATCGCCATGAAACTTTGGGAAGATGTTGGGAATATTTCTGGGGAGGTTTCTGCGCTAAAAACATTTTTAAATTCGCAGGGGTGGCGCCCCGGCAGGGCGCGATTTGTTTTTTCTCAATATACGATATATAAAAATAAAAGTCGTATTTGGTTTGACACCATTCATCCGATCGCCATAAAGCTTTGGTGAGTTCATTAGAACACTTTGGGGAAGGGTTCTGTAAACATTTATTTTTAATTTCCCAAGGGCGGCGCCACAGGAGGGTGCGATTTTTCTCTATATACCGTATATAAAAATAATAAAAGTGATTTGCCGTGACACCGTTCACACGATCGCCATGAAAATTTGGGAAGATGTTGAGAATATTCCTTGGGAGGTTTCTGCGCTAAAAACATTTTTAAATTTGCAGGGGTGGCGCCTTGGCAGGGCGCGATTATTATTTTCTCAATATGCGAGATATAAAAATAACAAAAGTGAATTACAATGACACCGTTCACGCGATCGCCATGAAACTTTGAAAATTTTTGAAAATACTCCTGGGGAGGTTTCAGAACAAAGAACCATTTTCAAATTCGTAAAAGCGGCGCCCCGGCAGGGCGCGATTTTTTTCCTTTATAACGTTATTTAAAAAGAAAAGTCGATTTTGGTTTGACACCATTCACCCGATAGGCATGACACTTTGGTGAGTTCATTATAACACTCTAGGGAAGGGTTCTGTAAAAAAAATCATTTTTAATTTCGCAAAAGCGGCACCGAGGGAGGGCGCGATTTTTCTCTATGTGCGGTATATAAAAATAATAAAAATAATAAAAGTTCACACGATTGCATTGAAACTTTGGTAAGATGTTGAGAATATTCCTGGGAAGGTTTCTGCGATTTGTTTTCTCTCTATATACGGTATATAAAGATAAAAGACGATTGCGGTTCAACACAGTTTATCCGAGTGCCATAAAACTTTTAGAAGTTGATGAATACTCCCGAGAAGGTTTCTGAGGTGGGTGTGTGGGTTTGGGAAGTGGGATTTTGCGCTCTGGTCTTTCCTGTGAACGCTATGGCGACTGCGTTCGATCTACACAGTGTGATAGACAGTGTAATAGCATGGGGCGTTACAAACACTCACTAAATTGAATCAGGCGTGTCCGCCGGCGCCCTGGTAGGGTGCAGTTTAGTTGCAAACTAAAATTTCAGTTTCGGCCCCCAAAGACTCACATGGGCCGCTGAAGGCCATGAAATACGTTTTATTTTAATAATTAGAAAAATTAACCAAGGTCAGATTATTATCAGGTATGTTTCTTTTTGTCCGTAAACAAATCCAAACAGTTTCGTCGCTTTGCGAATGATGCAATTAGCATCTTTTTTTTTAGATATTTCAATCAGAAATTGATATCGAGTATCTAATAATAGACCATTAGTAACGCTAACATATTGCATCAGTCAAACTAATGTTTAAAACACGTCAAATATTTTTTTACGTGTTAATCGGGGGGAGGGGGACTGAGAGTGCACTTCTACGTCCCTGACACATGGGCGGTGAGTGATTAATGTACACTCAAGGTTTTCATGCGGTAGTGTAGGAAACCCGTGTCCCGATATTTATGATCGAAGAACAGGCATTGTTTACATTTAAATACCTCACTTTTAGAAAAAAAAAAAGGTTATGCGTCTAAGAATATGGGATAGGTAAGGCATGGATGAGACACTTCTTATATATTTCGTCGGACTTTCTTCTATTCCCTCGGCAACGAGCGGGGACGGTTACGCTAGTAATATATAAATAAACCGGGAGTGATCTCCCCTAAACTTTCTCGAATATCTATATATATAATTCTCTTCTTCGAGCCGTTAGAAAACAAGCTGCAAACGCTCTCCCTACCTCCCCACCCCTACATGGTTTTAGTGAGCTGTGTTCACTCTAAATGTTTACAAGCAGAGCCAACGATTTTAAACGTAGGGGGGGGGGGGGGAGGGGGAGGAAGGAAGGGGGGGGGGGGGTTATGGTCCTTAACGAGCTACTTATAGTGTTTTAAAGAAATATTTTCAGTGTCAGCGTTGGTACTGTCGAATTCACAAATTATGAATTATTGAAAATTAGAAACAACTAAATGGCGGCGTATGTTATGCCGCGGGCCAGCTCGTTTTTATATAAAATAACAGGGGATGGGAACTCGGGCTATAGACATGATTTTTAATCCATTTTAAATACTTAAAGTTTTAAAAATAGAATAAAATCTCGTAGACAAAAGAATTGCACACCAAGTGAACGCTAAATAAAAAGTGCATAATAGTGCGCAATATTATTAGTACTGTAAAAATTTACATTAGTTTTTTGAGAAATCGGAAGTAGCGTAAATTTCTACTTCCGTTCAACGGAAATGACTCAAAATTTAACAGAAGGTAGAGAATTTGATCTTTTACTTACATGTGAAATTTTGTTTATCTATCTGAAATAGTACTCAAGTTATAGGCTTTTGAAAATTTCAAAGTAGGAAAAGTACCACTTCCGGTTATCGGAAATCGCTCAAAAGTTGATACGGATCTACGATTTTGATAAAATACATATATATGAAATTTCATCAACCTAGCTGTAACGGTACTCAAAGTATCGTGTTTACACACAGACAGGCAGACAGACAGACACACAGAAAGACACACAGACATACGGACAAGATTGCAAAATTATGATTTTCCGTATCAGTGAGGTGTAAAACGTCGAGATTTGGGAAGTTGTTGAGAATATTCCTGGGGAGGTTTCTGCGAAAAAAAAATTCTAATTTGCAGGGGTGGCGCCCCTGCAGGGTGCGATTTTTTTCTTTTGCTTTTTGCGGTATTTAAAAATAATTTTTAAAATCTTGGTTTGACAGCGTTCATCCGATCGCAATCTAACTTTGGTGAGTTCATTAGAACACTCTGGGGAAGGGTTCTGTAAAAAAAAAACATTTTTTACTTGGCAAAGGCGCCGCCACGAGAGGATGCGATTTTTCTCTATATACTGTATATAAAAAATAAAAGTCGATTGCAGTTTCACACCAATCATCCGATCGATATCAAACTTTGGACAGTTGATAAGAACACTACCAGGAAGGGCTCTGAAATGTTATTTCGCAATAGCGGCGCTACGGGAGGGTGCGATTCTTCTCGATATATTGTATATTAAAAATTAAAGTCGATTGCAATTTCACACCATTCATCCGATAGATATCAAACTTTGGGGAGTTCATTAGCGCGGGGCCTCGGGATGGTGGGATTTTTACAAGCTTTTATTTAACTCTCTTCCTCTGTCGTCAGTTGTCAGTCTGTCTAGATCGAAACGGCCGAGCGAAATTGCAGGCCCTTTTAACTGACAGATCCGGTTCGTAATTGGTACGTGGGTCAAGACATGAAGGTAATGCATCGTGACATTTAATTTGACTTAATAATTTGCCTAAATAATTTTTTATGAATAATTAAAATTTGTACCGAATTAGTAGGTAGTTCTATGCGTGGAGCGAGGGGGGGGGGGGGCTCTACGTCATAAGCGCGTCATCACGTTCAATAGGCGCGCAATGGTTTTAAGTCGGGTCAGCAGTCTAGTTATTTGCCACTAGACTACGCCATCCCATAATACATTACTGAAACTTTAGCTATAAACTTGACCACACACTGAACAGTATTAATGTCTAAAATTAAAGAGATGTTAAATATTTGTGTTCTATGATATGTGTTCAGCTAATTGTGGCAACTTTTTGATAAATGTACACTCGAGGTTTTCATGCGGTAGTGTAGGTAAACCCGTGTCTCGATATTTATGATCCAAGCGCAGGCATTGTTTACATTTAAATAACTAACTTCTAGAAAACAAGGTCACGCGTCTAAGAATATAGGATTGGTAACGCATAGATGAAACCCTTCTTATATATTTGGTTGGACTTTCTTCTGTTCCCGCGGCAACGCGCGGGGACGGGTACGCTAGTATTTAATAAAGTATAATATACTAATAATAAACTAATACATTAGTAAAATTGTACAGTAAATAATCAAAATATGAAAAAATAACCAAAAAAATAAAAAATAACCCCGTGTCGCAAGCAAAAAAATACTAGATCTAAATCAACCTTTTATGTTCGTCTCTCAGGTCGCAACCTTGCATTTTATCAGCCTACAGCACAATCTTCAACTTATCAAGAAAAGGGCATAATATTTGTTGCTGCAATGGCTGTAGATGGTGACATAGATGGGGTCTTTACACACAATTCTTGTTCGCACACATCAGAAAGTGAGAAGGATGGAGCTCCATATTGGAACATTACGTTGTCAGAGACCTATTATATTAACAGATGCGTTCTTTACAACAGATGGGATCCCAACGCATGTATCTAAGTATTCTTATTAAAACTTTAATCATTTAATTTATTATAATTATTTGTTTGTCTATGATTAAGTTCCTCTCTTTGACTGAAACCAGGAACATTTAATTTTACACATGGCTGAGTGGACACATGGAGTTACTAGGTCGTCAGAACAATAAAATTATTAAAACTTACATTGTAATATATATATATATATATATATCTATATATTTATATATCTATATATCTATATCTATATATATATATATATAAATATATATATATATATATATATATATATATATATATATATATATATATATATATATATATATATATATATATTCCCATTAGATCGACTTCGGCAGTTTAAACTTGAAATGTTTGACGACAAGAGTAAGGTGATAGCTGAGCACCAGGACAGATCAAATGATGACCAACCACTTTATGCTGTAACTACCCCAACAATCTTGGTCAAGTCTTTAAAAGTCACTGCAACATATAAAACAGAAAACAACGGAATTTTCGTTACATTGTGTGAATTCGAAATATACGGAGGTAAAGCTTCACACTTAACATAATCAAGATGCCTGTGCACAAGCCATCCCGATAGATAAGGTCAATAGGTGTGAAAACAAAAAAAAGGTTCCGCTTTAGTACTTGATTATCAATAATGCAGTTGAAGTTTTTTTTTTTAATTAAACACTGCATTTGAATGGATAGTGTGGTCAGCACTATGCCCAGCCCCATTTATCTTTCCTAACGTGATGGACTCAGTGACGTCTGATATACTCAAGTCCGAGACCAGAACTCAACAATTTCTGTGTTCAGGACTTCACGACCATACAATCTCAAAGTTTCTTTATCTTACTCATAATAACTAAATGATCTCCATCATTATCATCATATTCATCGTCTTATAGATCTCTTCCCCATAATCACCATTACCGTCAGCGATTTCCACATCTAATCTGCAGTACATTCATCCTAATCAGGGGCGTAGCAAGGGGGCGAGGGTGCGTACCGCACCGGGTGACAGCATTTAGTGGGCGGGGGGGGGGTGACACCAAGGCAAAAAATAGCAAAATATATACAGAAAAGGGATAATTCCACTTAATTAAGTGATTAACTAGAGTGTTAAATAGTCTTTTAAGAGCAAATTTGACAAATCCCGACAAGGGTTGGGAGTGGAGGGGTGGGGTTGACACCATGACGTAAACCTGCTAATGATAGAGAAAACATGCTACATCAAGCTGTATTTATAACCGACTATAGATACAAATCGTTAGTATTATATCTGAGCACAGTTTAAAGCAATCGCCGCGGCGAGGGGGGGGGGGGGGGAAGTTACATAAGCTCAACGTTGCAAGATATGCCTGAGGGGAAACGGTTTGGTTGAGAATCGTAATAACTTATGTGTTAATTCATGTATGGGGGGGGGGGGGTTAAAAATTAAATACATAAAAAAGAATATGTGAATACATATACACATGCGTATAGACATACTTACTTGTATATATATATATATATATATATATATATATATATATATATATATATATATATATATATATATATATATATATATATATATATATATATATATATATATATATACCGCAGGCGCTCAAATTTGGCAGGCTCCTGCCTTGGGACATTAGAACACGCGGGCCGGTGCCGGTTGGAAGCAAAGTCCACGAAGAAGGGGGTCAAAACTGGGAACAGGGCATTTCCCCCCTGTCAATTACCCCCCGGATATTCCCCCCCCCCCCCGACATTACCCCCCCCCCAGAGTAATTACCCCCCCCCCCCCCCGTCAATTACCCCCCTGTCAATTACCCCCCGCCCAGTAGGACATTACCCCCCCCCCCCCGGACAGGGTTAGAGTTAGCGCTAGGTTTAGGGTTAGGTTTAGGTTTAGGGTTAGGGTTAGGGTTAGGGTTAGGGCTGGGTTAGGGCTAGGGTTAGGGCTAGGGTTAGGGTTAGGGCTAGGGTTAGGGTTAGGGTTAGGGTTAGGGTTAGGGTTAGGGTTAGGGTTAGGGTTAGGGTTAGGGTTAGGGTTAGGGTTAGGGTTAGGCTTAGGGTTAGGGTTAGGGTTGTGTCTAGCTTTGGTTTTTGTTTTGTGTGAATCTTTAGGCTAAGGTGGATGCTTAGGTTTTGGTCTTTTTCTTAAGGTTTGGATTAAAGTAGTATATAGGTATAAAATTCTAGTTAGAGTTAGGATTTTAACTTTAGAGGGGGGGGGGGGGTAATTCCTCCGGGGGGGGGGGTAATTGACTGGGGGTAATTGACAGGGGGGGTAATTGCTCCGGGGGGTAAATACGGGGGGGAAATGTCCGGGGGGGGGGGGGGAAATATCCAGGGGGGTAATGTCCTGTAGCCGTCAAAACTGACCTCAACTGACTTGCACCTTATATGAGCTATATTACGAAAAAAATTGCCGAACGACCCCCCTTGATATTTTGTGAGGTGGTAGAAAAACACCTATGGGTGTCAGAAATAAACACGCCATATTCTGCAAATTCCGCAAAGTGGTCAAACTTTGACCAGTCGTATTTCCCTATATAATCTTTGTAATTTATGGGAAAAATAGAGGGTAATTTCAACACAGATTTTAGGGAACTTACCTTTTGTTCATCTAGCTAATTTTTTGCATGCGCTTAGGCCGTATGGAAAAACTGTCGGTTCGACTCAAAGCCCTGCATTGGGGGGGGGGGGGGGGGGGGGGGGCTAAAAAAATCCGCGATCGAAATTCTCCTTACATGAGATATATATATAAATAAAATGACGAATGATTTTCCTAATAGTTTGTGAGGTCGCATAGGGTTAGGGTAACAGAAAAAAACATTCCCGTCTTTAAAAACCCTTAGATTTGTCCCGATGCCGTATTTTCTTATGTCTTATATAGACAATAACGTCATTTGGTATATATATAGGAGAGGTAACTTTTTAAAGTAATAATTTTAAAAAATTATTTACTATTTTAAAGAAAAACAAAAATCGCAAAAAATAGCATTCCTTTAAATACATATTTTGTTTTAAATTAAGTTATGTATTGTACTGAAATTGTAAAAATTAATTGTTGAAGTAAATTTAATATAATGTGTGATTTATACTATTAAGGCATCCTTTGCAGTTCTAATAAACTTGCGAGTCATAACTTTGCGAATACTCCACAAACGTTGGCATAACACACACACACACATATATATATATATATATATATATATATATATATATATATATATATATATATATTTTTTTTTTTTTTTTTTTTTTTTTACGGGAGGGGGATGTGACACCATTTAGTGCCGCACCGGGTGACACCCGACCTCGCAACGCCACTGATCTCAACCATCTGTTTCACTTGACTAGCATCAACATTTTGCCGTTTGGTTTTGTTACCATCATCACTACGTTCATCTACATCATTTAGATATCTCTGAATTATAAATATGTAATCGGTATGTGAAAAAAAAGGCTTTCTATACAATACCTAAGCAATGCATACAATGCCGGCAACTTGTCGTCTAAGAATCAAATACATTACATTTTATACATTTTCTAGTCATACTATAGAAAACATAAATGACAGAAACATTACAGAGTTAGTGCTAAGTTTAGGGTCGGGGACGACTTTTTGTTTAATCTGTTCGTTTTTTTTTTTTTTTACATGGCCTGATCAGTTCTTGTCATTCGTTGTAGGCCTATACATTTTATTCAATATAGGAAATGATTTATAACGACGCAGAAATTTAATACCTTGCCTGAAAACATTCTACAGATTCTAACTGTGATCCCGGCAAGTTTGGCCTAGAATGTGAGAAGACTTGTAACTGTGCTACAGACGAGGCTTGTTTTGTTGCTACTGGAGGATGTCCTTCTGGCTGTAAGGCTGGATACTATGGGGAGGCTTGTGAGAAGGGTAAGAAAAAGTTGAATCATTTATTTAACACCTTAGATAGTTCACATTCCCAGAATGAATGAAGAATTGCATCTCTGGGTATGAACATAATTAAAATAGCCAATTACCTGACTACTTATGGTAGTCTATCTAACATTCAAAATTATATGTTAAAGTTGTTGTGATGAATGCCATCGGCGCATTATGTACTGCGTCAGAAACGACTTTGTTATTTAATGCATCTTTTAACTTTAAGGTCAACTATTTTAAAAATATTTTTTTCTTAATATACATTTTAAATATCTTTGTGTAAAATAGTTTGGTATATCACTACAAAGCATTATTACATATAGCACAGACACATTGAACTTGCCTCAAATCTTGGCAAAACTAATTGTAAAGATCGACTGCCTAAAATGTTCCATATATCAAAACTGGAAATATAGAAATTCATAAATAATACTTTTGTATCACGCACATCTCATGTATTATAAACTCATATCTATTTTTTAAACAATAATACAACATATTATTTATACGAACTGTCATCTTTTTTAAAAGCTTCACTTTATAATGGGATCGAGCAAATCCGTTAACAAGGGGCGAGGGTTACATTATGTGAATATTATTAGGCTAAGCATCTATGACGTTCATGATTTTCTACCATTGATGTACACACATACCTTCAGATTTTAAAAAAAATATTAAATTGCAAATACAATATAATACACATTACATATACGCTGAATGTGTATGACAATTTGATAAGCCTACATTTCTCAATACTTTTTCTCCACACATAAATCTGCTTTAGGTTGTAGCTCATATCTCTTTCCCCAGCCTGTGAGCCACACACCTGGGGCATCAGCTGTAACCAAAGCTGTAAAGACCGTTGTATAGACAACACCTGTAACAGGTTTAATGGAGACTGTGATAAAGGATGTAAAGACGCTCATCAGCCGCCGGCTTGCACAGAGGGTATTATATCGATGTGTTTTAAATAATTTCACACATGTAACTATGCATGCCAATCTCTCTCTCTCTCTCTCTCCCTCTCTCTCTCTCTCTCTCTCTCTCTATATATATATATATATATATATATATATATATATATATATATATATATATATATATATATATATATATATATATATATTGAAGTTAACAAAGTATTTTCTCTTCAATAACAATCATACATTACTTACAACAGTTTGCAATGCTACGTATTACGGCACCAATTGCTCACAAAGATGTAGTCCCAACTGTACCAACAGCCTATGTCAACCTGAAAGTGGTCATTGTTTGTCTTGTTATGCTGGCAGTGAGGGGGATTTCTGTGATAAGCGTAAGTGTATGCCCTTTATATGAGAAATCGAACGTTTTTGAGCATTTTTGATAAATAAATTTAAACCCTTATAATTATATCTCTTGACGCTCTATCTCTCGCTCTATATATATATATATATATATATATATATATATATATATATATATATATATGTATATATATATATATAGTTATATGTTTAGTGTTTTGTTTATTTAATTATAAAAATACGTTACATTGTAACACCAACACATTACTTCCAACAGCTTGTCAAGCGACGTATTACGGCACCAACTGCTCACAAAGATGTAGTCCCAACTGTACCAACAGCCTATGTCATCCTATCAATGGTCATTGTTTGTCTTGTCAGGATGGCAGTGAGGGGGATTTCTGTGATCAGGGTACGTACAACAGTAGATGAAAAATATTAACGTTAATTGCAGTAGAATTTTTAAAGAACTTATTGCAACTTAATTATTGAATATTTAATGTGTGATATTAGTCAATTTTTTTTGTAATTGTCTAAAGTAAAGTTTGCTCGGAGAGATTTTTTATAATAGAACACTTCTTTTTTATCATTTATAAATTAAATATTAAAACAATTTTACAAAATATTAAAATGATGTATTCATACTCACAAAGAAACATAAAGGAATTAAGTCAGTTAATGTATTTATATATATATATATATATATATATATATATAAAGTGTAATCAATACAAGAAATGAAACCAATGATTAATGAAATCATAATACTGTCTTTTGTACAAAACAATAGGATGTGAAAGCCACATTCGACTTTGACTATCGCAATTTTTTTACAACAAATAAATAAACAGTCATATAAGCCTCCATACATACATACATTCATACATAGACATACATACATACACATACACACACACACACATATATATATATATATATATATATATATATATATATATATATATATATATATATATATATATATATATATATACAGTGGCGTAGCGAGATCGGGTGTCGCCCGGTGCGGCACTTAATGGTGTCACCCCCTTTCCCGGGGACAAACTTTCCAATATTCGATTTGCACCCCCCCCCCTTTAAGTTTTTCTCTATATATTTTGCTATTTTTTGCTCCCTAAATGGTGTCACCCGGTGTGGTCCGCACCCCCGCTCCCCCCCTCGCTACGCCTCTGTATATATATATATATATATATATATATATATATATATATATATATATATATATATATATATATATATATATAAAATGTTTATATCTGAAACACTAAGCCAGGAGTCGGCAACCTTTTGAGACGGAAGAGCCAAAAGTTACAATTTATAAAATGCCCTATTTTTTTTTTTAAAGAGCCACTTTTTTATTTCAATATTTTGGTATTTGATAAGGATTAGTTAAAGAAATTTGATTTGATATTTAAAATAAATAGTTATAAATATGAAATAATATTTATTCATATAAAAACATGTTTCGCCAGAATAATACACCTAGAAATAAAATAATATAAAAATAGGACTATACTAATCCTTTTTAGAAGCTGTTAAAGTTTTTTTTTTTCCTTTCTTTATCGACATGACCTGTTTAGGAGGTGTCTGCCATGAGCCACCCAAGCCTCAACAATACAAACTCCGAGTAACTGGTTTGGATATCGGCTTGATTACTGTGTACCGGTCGCGTTTGTCCTTTGGTTATCACTATACTTATGTTCCACCCCCACTGGCAAGAATAGAACTGTCCACACGGGGCTGTCCACAGCACGGCTGTAAGGCTGTGCCTTGTGCCCAAGCGGTTGTCAGCTGTCCGTGTACTCGCTACTCCACCTATTCTAACTCTTCTCTGAAGGGTGTTCTTATTATGTTTAAATTTGTGTTTCTTTACAGTATAATATTTGTTAATAGTTTTGAAAATGAAATAATATAACTATTAATATGTTTGCAAGGAGCTGGAGAGCCGCATCGTGACATTAAAAGACCCGTAGCTTGCCTTTAGGTTGCACTAACCCCATTTTCACAACAGCTTTGCAATGAGTCTCTCTCTCTCTACTCTCTCTTTATATATATATATATATATATATATAATATGTATCTATGTTTATATTGTAACACTAAAAAATAATATTCAACAGCTTGCCATGAGACGTATTACGGCACCAATTGCTCACAAAAATGTAGTCCCAACTGTACCAACAGCCTATGTCATCCTGTCAATGGTCATTGTTTGTCTTGTGATGCTGGCAGTGAGGGGGATTTTTGTGATCGGCGTAAGTGTGTTTATGTGGCTAAATATGCATCATATAAGTTTTGTATTATTGATATTTTACATATTGCCAAATATTTTGCTTAAATAATATAGTATTTTCCTAATTGGCATGAACAGAATGCTAAAACATATTATGCATAGATTTAATACAATGCACTGCGCTAAGAAGCGTAATCGAATATACAATGGAATTCTCCTGAGCAAAGACGTTTTCGTCCATTGTCATGGACAGAAAACCCATATTTATGACATTAATGTAATTGTAAAATAATAATCTGTCAACATTTACTAGCCTGTGAGAACAACACTTGGGGCTTTAACTGCAGCCATCCCTGCAACCAGTACTGTCAACCCTCCAACATAACAGCCCTATGTGATGCTGAAACTGGTGTATGTCTACATGGATGTATGGGACAGATGGATGGAGATGTGTGCACCAACAAAACTGTTGCTGTAGCCCAACACGATCCAACAGATGGCGATGTTCCTGTCGTGGCTATAGTTGTACCTGTTGTATGTGGGGTAGTTATCGGTACCCTCGTTGTTATCATTGCTGTTTGGTATTGCAGGTAAACCGGATGTTTTCATAAGACTTTTATGAGCTGTGATAATTGATAATGTGCCGTTTATTGCTACTTGGCTAATGATACCTGCATTCTTCAAATAGTTCGTTCCAATACTTGGGATAAAACTGGTTATCGGTTTTTCCCTTTTATTCTTTTTGTTAAAATTAGCATTGGCTGGTAAGGTAAATTTTCACAATTTTTGGTATGTTCATAAAATTAATCAAAGTATAATTATTCCACAATTTGTAATACCATATTAGATCAAACAGCTATATGCTAGTAGGTTTACCCAAAGTCTGTTTGAAATTTATATTTATTTTTCCTAACACAGAAAGAAAACGCCAAAGGATTTAGGCCTAGATGCATCAAGCAGTGACGATATTCTAGATAGAACCTCCTTTGCGTCATCAAAAGTATTAGAACAAGGTAAAGCTATATAGCCTACAAATTTCTTACCTTAAAATTCGTTCTAGTCCAAACTAGACTATATAATTCTAATATTGCATGCAGTGTAGAAAATACCCAGCATTTAATGTCCAAAGCAATAAATTACACACTCGAGGGCATCGTTATAATTAGGCCGGGTGTAATTAATTAATTTTGCCAGCCCCCACACTAAAACGAAAAGACCCAGTTTATCGGCCCTTGTGCATAAGAAATTTCACCGCCGTATTATTAAGGGGTAGTTTAATGGTATTTGGTTTTGTTACATATTAGCTTATTAACATTCGTGAAAAAATTCTATTTAATATTGTACTATTTGACCAAAGACTCGCCTGGTGACCGAGTCTACTACAACGACGTACACGAACTTGAGACCAGCAGCACCTCTATAGCAGTTACAGATTTAAATACTTTCCTCATCAGCCACGATAAAGTTTTCTTTGTTGAACAGTTTGGGGTGAGTTGATCATTGCATTTAAAATGTTGATATACTACACTCGACACGACGTGTCATGGTATACTACATTTAAAACCTAGACTATAACTTTGTTTACTCCCCAGAACATACCAGTGCAACAGAACGTCACCACTGATGTTGCCATGAAAAGTGAAAACAAACCAAAGAACAGATACAAAAATATTTGCGCGTGTTAGTATTGTTTTAACATGTTTAAACAATGTTTTATAAAGCCATTATGTGATGTTCATAATCTTTATATAAGTTAGACACATTTTGTTGTAGACCTAACGAATTGTTTCATAGTTTGTTCTTGTCAGGGCTGGTGTTAGATGAAGCGGTAATAAGGGTAGACACTGGGTTTAAAATGTGGTATATAACTAGTTATAACTTGTAAGCTATAAAGTTAAACAAATTATTTCATATAGTGCACACTATATTATAAAACCGTCATTACAGATGACCATTCACGTGTTCATCTTGAAATCAACACAGACAAGAAGGAAGGAGATTACATCAACGCTTCTTACATTGATGTAAGTAATATTTCTGTATGAAATAAGGACATTTCAGTTTGAAATACATTGAATTACAATACCATATAACCTTTTTGTTTTAAACTTTGCACCTTTTTTTCAGGGTTACCAGAATAAGGAGAAATTCATTGCATCACAAGGTAAACCCTTCATTTGTTGAATATGATTACATGTTTTATTTTATAAAATCAAATATAGCCGAAATTTTGTTAAAGATAGCAAATAAATTATTCGTATTGAAAAAAATTAACTTGTGTATTACCTGCTTGTATTAAAGGTCCAAGCTCCGTGATTTTAAATGATTTTATAAGAATGATATGGGAACAAAAGGTTGAAAAAGTTGTCATGTTGACAAACTTGGTTGAAGAAGGAAAGGTGAGACAGAATTGTAATTGTGGTGTAGCTATTTTTAAATGAGTAAACATCGTGCTAATAGAAAAGTATAAGCCCTGTGGTTATTTTGACAGTTGAAGTGTGAGCGCTACTGGCCTGAAGAAGGGGACTGTACATTTGGAGATATAACGGTCATTCTTCTGTCTACTGAGGGTTTTGCTGACTACACCATTAGAAAGCTGAAGTTTGTAAAAGTAGCCATCTTTTTTCTGTACTTTCTATATCACGTTAAATGTATAATTTATTATTTAATTAGTGGTAGTAGGTAGAGGTATTAATTGAGTTAAATACTATGCAATAGTTTAAGCCTTATAAAAAATATACACCAGTTATTCAGTAGCAGTATTAATATGTTTAAAAGTTTTACAAAATAAATCAAAAAATAGTCTAGCTTATGTCAGAATAAAATGTGAACGAAAACGTATACGTTTTTGAAGTGGCTTCACATTTTGTTACTAGTATCATACAATTAGCTGAATATATCATTACATTCTCGAACAAAGAACAACGCCCAAATAATGAAAATATATTTTGTCATACCTTTGTATAATTATAACGGCACAGAAAACCAAACCAGCCCAGTATGTGACACATTTCCATTTCACCTCATGGCCAGACAAAGGTGTGCCAACAACTCCATGGAGTCTTGTAGATTTTAAGCAAAAAGTTTCTGCACGAAATTCGAATAGACCAATCCTTGTTCACTGTAGGTGAGTTAACTAACAACAAAATGACATGGGTCTAGAAGGGAAATTTGTAAATGAATCAACATTACAAGAAATGAAAAAAAAAGTTTAAATCAATTTCTTTTAAAAGTAGACATTTTAAATTGACTTTATGTGTTTTGTAAGTATAACTATTACAGTTGTTTATTACATTCCTCGAAAGACTAATTTTAATTAACTTATATAGTGCAGGTGTTGGTAGGACAGGTACATTCATTGCCTTACGAAACTCAATACAACAAGCGGTAGACACTGGAAAAATTGATTGCTTTAAAACATTGAAAAAACTCAGAGAAGATCGGATTTTAATGATTCAAACCTCTGTAAGAAACCACGATTTCAGAATATTTTATCTGTAGAAATATTTATAATTATTGTATCGAGTAAACTTTGTATAAATTTATTATTTCATTTTTCCCCCAGGAACAATACGAATTTCTTCATAAAGCATTAGCTGCTGCACTGATGTGTTTGGATAAAACAATATCAAACAAAAACACAGCAGGCACCATTGAAAAGATGAACTGGAATACAATTACAGGACAAAGCAGATTATCAAAAGAGTTTAAGGTAATTATTTTAAAGCATTTAGATCTACTAAGTAAAATTAATTTGGCAAAAGACAGTGTTTAATTATCTTCTACCAATAGAAAAGATGTCGAATAACTTTAAAATTTTAACATGAATTATAGAAAATAATTTATCACTGCCTTTTTGTTCAGTAATTTCACTTTTTCTTTCCTAGACATAGTTTAGATGTATTAACCTTTTTAAATTTTACTTTGACATTAAATTAAGTATCTAACAATCAAGAACATTCTAAAAATCAATAATGTATACAACAGCAGTTATAGAAAAAAGAGTCAAAGCCTTTCTTCCTTTTAATTAATATTTTCATAATCAATAATTATCAGTTATATTTGATATTTGTTGGCTATACATTATAAAAAACAATTAGTTGTTTGTTATGTTCCCCAGGATTTGTGCACTGTTGTGGACGTTTTACAAAAGAATGAAACTACAGAAGAGGAACTGGAAGAGAATTATGCTCAGAGCATTTATCAGAATAATCTAGATGTAGCACATGATCTAAAGAACAGATTTCCATCAATCATGCCAAGTTAGTTCAAATAATATTTCTCTCTCAGTTGTTTTGAGGTTAAGGTGATGATGTTACTATTCCATGTTTAAGATAACAATTACATGATACTCCAAATTTCTACTTGTTTTATAAGAATTCCCTGACATATTATTATAGCAATTTTAAAATTTAAATATTTTATTATTAGAAAGAGTCCATACATTTCATACAATGTATGTTTAATTTTTTTTTTAGTGTGTTAAAATACTACAAGTGATGTGTTATGAAAAATGTAAATTGCATGAAAAAAAATCACAAAAATTATTAAATGTGTCCAATTAACAGTTTTTGTATTTCCCTCTAGAAATACAGCACAGAGCTAAATTAAACTGTGACAACAAAGATTCGAGTGACTACATCAACGCTGTTCTAGTCCCGGTAATTTACAAATAAAACAATTGAACCCTAAAACAGTTAACGGTCAGATTGACAATGGATTTTTTAAATTTCTTTTTCTAGTATATCCCAAAGACTTCACTGTATTGTTAAAAAATGTCTCTTATGTAATTAAAAGTGTAAATATATGCTACCTTTTAAATCATTGTCATAAATCTCCGCGTCATCTGGTGAGCTTAGCAATCAATCTAAGACATTTTCACTAAAAACATTCAAACTACCATTTTTTCAGTAGGCTAAACTCCCCACTTGGTTTAAAATAGGTGTATGGTTAACATTATGGCTTATGAATATGCTTTCCCCCATTTAAAAATCTCACTCATGTCATCAAATTTTCTAGAGTTTTAAACAAAATACCAATCAAATTATCACCCAACTACCCATGGCTGAAACTGTTGTAGACTTTTGGAGACTGGTTACCCAATACAAAGTCTCAGTTATTGTCACATTTGAGTTGGATTACAGTGATAAGGCAAGTCATTTCTCTTAGTGTGACCACAAAGATATACCTATAAGGATTTTATGTTTGATTTCACAATCAATTTTGCTATATTTTAGAAAAAAAAAGGTGGAAACCTTTTGATACGCAGCTTTAGTTCATAAGTATTGCAGAATATATTCTAATATCTACAGTTCATGTAATATTGCAAACATATATATTCTGTTTAGTCTGTAGGTAGATATCTACCAACAGTAACAACAGAAACTCTCAGTTCCCCACCATTTGAAGTTGGTGTCATATCAGTAAAAGAAGAAAAAGATTGGAATGAAAAACAATTACAAATGAAAACTTTGTCCTCGTCATCTCAAAAGGTATTGACTTTGATTGTTCTATGTTAAAAACAATTGCTTTTCTTAAAAATTAAATTGTCTTGTTTTTTTATACATATAAAGAACATCATTATTATTTTATTCTTATACATAAATATAATTAACAGGCAGAAAGTTTAAATGCTACACATCTTACACTCAGCGATAAAAGTTATCATCCAGAGATAATGTTGCAGTTTATTAACCGTGTAAGAAATTTGAACCAGCCCAATGATGGTACATTGTTGTACATGTGCAAGTAAGTTTTCATTGTGTTGATGATCATAAACAATAACTTAGTATAATGGACCATGTAATAGCTAACATACTGCATCATTGAACTGGAAAGTAAAAATCATAATATACTGAGATTAAAATTAAAAGACAAAAACCCAATGCAGTGTGTGGAAATGCAGAAATTAATATTTACAATTAATATTTACAATTGAATACGCCCCTTTGGTTTTATATATATGTATGTATATATATATATATATATATATATATATATATATATATATATATATATATATATCAGAAACGGAGCGACGTTTAGTGGATTAGCCTGCATATTAACTTTACTATTGGATCGTATGGATCATGACGGCATGGTTACAGTTCCACTGGTTGTTGGTGCCATCAAGTCTATAAGACCTCAAGTCATCTCAACACTGGTAGGTTTCGGTCTTCACTGAATGTGAAATTGATTTGAATATTAAATACTAGTTCATTAAAATCTTATTTTGAAAAAAAAACTAATTTTATAGGAGGAGTGACCATAAAGATTTTTTTTTTTATTTTTCCAGGACCAATACAAAACAGTGTACCAGATTTTGGAACTGTATAGCAAAGATCTCTATGATGCTGAACTCCTAAATAAGAATAAAACAACAGAACATGAACCTGATCATTCTGTTTATGCCAACAGCTTGCCTGATAAAGGAAATAATAAATTAGTGTTGGATGTTTTGTAAAAAAATACAAATCTGAAATTGTTTTAGCTATCTTTTATGAAAGTTAAAATATACAATACATTAAAACAGTGGTATAAAAGTTTTAGTTGTACATATCAAATTTAGAAGGGAATCAAATAGTTATATTATATTTAAAAGATTTTTAAAAAACCTTTTGTATTTTAAAATGTCATGCATTATAATGAATACATTATAGTTGAAATTATTTCCTATAATAAAACATAGTGAGAAATCTCGACTGTAACAGAACACAAATGATACAAAACTTAACAATTTACCAACTAGACATCAACTATATTTTTTAGCTAAATTAAGTGTTAATAAGACTTTTTACAATCAATAAAATACTTAGTGTACTTAGTGACTACATTGTGATAACCAAATAGATTTTATGCTTTTCAAATAGTGGTTTTAATATTAGGGACTAGACTGTAACACATTGATAGATCAGCTTTCCTGTAAATTATAGTTCTATTGGCACTTGCTCCTGTTATTTATTTCCAACATCATATATTTACATTTATTGTATGCACACGTTTTTAAAGTATTTAATATTTCATATTTTCAATTGTATATCGCTAAAAATTGCAAGACCCTTTTGTTACTGGTTTTTAAAGAAATATATTTTAGATTGACTGTCACGAGCTCTCTGGTAGAATAGTTTAAATCTATGATTCATTGCAATATTTAGAACAGAGATTTAATAGTTTGTGTAAGATAAATAAAATAGTATGCAATAGTCCTACTTAAGATGTTTGCATTTATTTAGTTATTATTTGTAGTTATTTGGGTAATATATTAGGCCCACGCCTTATATTATCAGAGTTATCGCTCACTTTAAACTATGGGAAATTATAAATTGTTGGTTTTTCTGTATGCTTCATATTTAGACGGATTTGTCATTGCTAGCAGCTAAAGCACAGTAGTTAAAAGGTGGTAGCGATATAGTAAGACCTAACTAAGATATTAATTAAGATAACAAAAAAATGTAAACATATTTAAAATATTACATTTTACAAGCTTTTATTTAACTCACTTCTTCGTCAGTCTATCTGTCTAGATCGAAACGCCCAAGCGAAATTTATAATAGCGCAGAATAGTTTGATGAGACAGCCTACCAATTTGGACAAAATTTTAATGAATTCATAGAAAATTAATTAGGCAACCAATTAAGTCAAATTTAATGTCGTGTTGCATTGTCTTCATGTCTTGACCCATGTACCAACTACAAACCGTATCTGTCAAGTAGAAGTGCCTGACGACTGACGACTGACAGAGGAAGTGAGTTAAATAAAAGCTTGTAAAAAGGAGAATATAAATTATAGACTACTATTTAAATAACTATAAAGAAAAGCGTGGGTCTCTTCCTAAATGTTAGTAAAGGTATCCAATAGATACTAAAGTGACGTGCGGCGTCAAAAAGGCAAATGACAAAACGGCCCCGTCAAAACGACACCGACATAAGAGCCCGGTCAAATTGACCCCGTCAAAATGGCCAGCGACATATGGGCCCCGTCATATAGGCTCCTGACAAATAGGCTCCCTTCATTTAGGCTACCGACAAATAGGCTCCCGTCATTTAGTTTCTCGATAAAATGGCCCCCGTCATTACGACTCCCGGCAAATAGGCTCCCGCCATTTAGTTTCTCCACAAAGCGGCCCCCGTTATTACGACTCCCGACAAATAGGCTCCCGTCATTTTGGCTAACGACAAATAGGCTCTTGTCAATTTAACTCCCGACAAAAGGACCACTGACAAGACGGTTTCTGTAGAGACTAAGTCTCCCGGCAAAAAAGGTTTCATTGAATATGACACCTGCCAATGGGACCCCTTCATCAATATTCTTTACTAGAGTTAGCTTATCCAACACTCTTAAGTAATACAACGTATGCATCTCTTGTTCGGCAGGCCTTTTTTCTAATAGTTTATCTATTATAAGAACTAGTATCTATGACTTCCATAAATGAGTTGGTTAAAGGCTGTTCCAACTCAGTGTGTGGGGAGAGGGGTCCACGCTGTACATTCCTACCTGCAGTATGCTTGTAGAGTTTTCAAAACAAAATGCCGTTATCCTGTAAACATCATATTTATCATAATTTACACTTCTGTGCTCGCTTTTAAGCAACAGATCTTTACTGTTGTAAATTAAACATATCAAAACTTTAGAATAGATGGAATTTAGCTGTTAAGGGCTCGATTTCTTTGTGAATTGATGTTGGTTTATGAAAAACAATTTCATTCAGACATTTAAAAGAGGTTATAGTGGTAGTGGAGGTAGAGAAAATGGTCATGCCACTCATTTGTCTGGTGCCAATATGTCGGGAGTCGATTTGTCCCGTGCCGTTTTGAAAGGGCACCCTAAAGTGACCCATCCTTTTCTTTATAGTTATTTAAATAGTAGTCTGCTCTTTATTTTCTCTTTAGTGCATTATTACATAAAAGCTTGCTATTAAAACGTTAGAGTCAGGCCGAGCTTGAAGTTGGTCCATGGACCCTGATTTAAATAAAACACTATGTGTAAGTTTAATATTAAAAGATTGTCAACCTCAATATTTAACTATGCATGCTTAGAACGTGAAATACACAGGAAGTAAACGGAAATGAATGCTAAAAGACAGATTTAGCTGAACAAGATATTTTTTTATTATTGTGTGTAACAAAATCGCTAAAGAAAACAAAATAAGGTTACATTAGACATACCGAATAGTCACCATACTTTGTATTTTATATATGCTATGGTAGCCATATTTGAACTTAGATCCACAGACCGGATGTTATTGTTTAAAAAAAAATTCATCGGTGTTTTATGGTAAAACAAAACCAGGAAGTAGAATCAATGTAAACATTGATTTAAAAGGAACATGTCTTCGTTTAGGCTCGTCCCTTTATATTAACGGCTCGGATTGCTTCAAGCTTTCAATAGGCTGTCCTCTGTAGGGTATAGCTATTTGTTGAAATAGCCTTTAGTCAATTTACGTGGTCGATTTATTATGTCGCCTTTTAAATCGTTTTTCTTGACATTAGCAGTCATTTAGGCTGCAAAATGTCAAGCATGGCATTTTGAAAGTCGTCGTCTTTATGGCCCACCAATAACTGCTTCAGCTATTTTGACCCTGCTTAAACCCTGCCTTAGAGACTAGCTGTAGAGGAACATACGGTCTAGGCCAACGAGGAGAAACATTTCAGTCTTTTACTGCTAAAACAGTGCCAAGGGTTTATCGTACATCTGTGACTTCGATAGTCAAATATCCTGATAAGTCGTCCTCTCGTGACTAGCTCAGGCATCTCAGCCTACAGCTGGTCAGACTTGACCGCTTACATGAAAGGATTTTCCTAATCCACACTAGCTGCTGGAGATCTGTCGACACATGTCGAGGGCCGCTTTAGCTGTTATCCGTGGCGGTGGAAGATCCATATAAGTTGAAGTACCCAGACACTAGGATCTCTTTTTCGACTCCGAAGCTGGGCACAAAACTTAAGTCCCCAGACACTAGAATGTCTTTTCGACTCCGAAGCTGGGGACAAAACTTAAGACCCCAGATACTAGGACCTCATTTCGACTCCGAAGCTGGCCCCAAAACTTACACAAGTAAGGACATTCTATCGCGCACCGCTAAAACAAGGTGATACCGAATCCTTGACGGACTGAAACTGATGAACTCAGTCTAGCCGATGTCAAGGTCAACCGTCCATAAGTCTGGGGGCGTGGCACCTAATATTGGTTGTCCAACGTCGACAGTGTGGTATGACATCATTTTAAAATTAAAACAAAAATATAAAAACCTTTATAAGTAATAAGGTTGTATGCACTGAAACTAAGAAAATAGGCAAACATTTTTACTGTAATAAAAGCATTGGTCGCTAAGATATTTCTTTTTGACACATGTTTTTACTAAAGTAGTTTTTTTATTCTCTTTTTTGATAGCGCATTACAAAGCTTAATATTATATAGATATTTTATTTTTTATTTTAATTTTCTTCGTTTTAGTAATTATTAATAAAATATTTTTAAAATTTAAATATTCGATTTTTAGTGGTCGTTCGGTAAGGCTCATGACTGCTAAACCGAAAAGTCCCGAATTGGAATCCCCGTGCAGATGAGGCTCTAGGGACATCAGCCCATATGGGAGAGAAAACTCACAAATTCAAGAACTGCTGACTTGCAGATTATTCTTGGATTGACGAAGTAAATGTAAGCAAAACGTAATTGTGTTGAAGGATATTAGGTTTAACATTATATTAAAAATGAAGAAAATGAAAATAAAAGCTTGTAAAAAGAAGCTACTTTTAAATGTGTCATTTTTAAGAGCTGAAGAGCTAAGAGTAAGCAGTGTTAAACTAAGCTATTTTTAGATCGAGTTTCGACATTCGCAATGACAGCAACAAATAAATTTGTTATAACTGGGTTCTATATGTGTACCACAGCTATGCAGTGAGAGGGTCCAATACTATATTTCAATAACACTACCATTTGATATGTTTAGCTATGCAGTAGTGCATCTTGAGACACGACGACATCAACGCTTACAATAGATTGGACAGAATGACATTGTTTGCTAATTCAATTTATTACACTATAGAAATAGACATCGGACAGCTTGAACAATCGATACTAAGACTGGACAACCTAACCCTAACATAACACGAACAAGACTAACTCAAACTTCTTCCCCGGCAACAACGAACTCACACTCAAACGTCACTTTCTTGCGTACCGCGTCACACTTTCACTCGTTCAATATTCTAGCTTCGCACCAGCATTCATGCGCACCGATTTCCCTAGTCGAACATGCATCATAACAAAATTCTTGCTTGTTTTTACATCAACCGCGATTCTCATTGATTAAATACTATTAGAGTTAATATTATCTCTCTACCATATTCAGTAAGTCCTGTGCTGTAAATATGTAGTGGGTACAAGACAAAATTTACGATCTAGGATCGAGCAAAAAACAAACAGATTAAATACAAAACACAGTTACACGTTGGTCCGTTTACACATGTTTTGTTTGGAAATAAAAAAAATAATAAGATTAGGAATATAAGAATACTTTTAATTAGACATGTTATTTCAGGAAAAGCAGCATGATTAATTGTTAATTAATTTAATTTACATTTTTACTATCTAGCTAGGCTATGGTTTTTTTTTATCTTTTTTATTTAAAGCTTACTAAATCTTCATTAATTACATGATTCATTGTTTTCACTTGAAACAAATTTGTCTCTACTTTTGTAACCATTTATCTGAAACTCAAATTGTAATTTTAAATAATTGGAATACAAACTATTTTATACAGTGAAATACAAATTACTCATCACTGACAATGAATCAGCGGTTAACAAAGTACTATATTAATGTTTGGATGAGTCATTTTTTTTTTCAACACAACACTATGAAAACTGATGTTCCACAATCCAAACATTTTCGTGAATCCACACATTGTGCTCCCAAAACGTTTACATTACATCGTATCAGTAGGACCATTATGGCTTTAAGTGACACAATGACTGTATGACAATGATGGCTTTAAGTGACACAATGACTGTATGACAATGATGGCTTTAAGTGACACAATGACTGTATGACAATGATGGCTTTAAGTGACACAATGACTGTATGACAATGATGGCTTTAAGTGACACAATGACTGTATGACAATGATGGCTTTAAGTGACACAATGACTGTATGACAATGATGGCTTTAAGTGACACAATGACTGTATGACAATGATGGCTTTAAGTGACACAATGACTGTATGACATAATGGCTTTAAGTGACACAATGACTGTATGACAATGATGGCTTTAAGTGACACAATGACTGTATGACAATGATGGCTTTAAGTGACACAATGACTGTATGACAATGATGGCTTTAAGTGACACAATGACTGTATGACAATGATGGCTTTACGTTGACACCATGGCTGTAGGACAATGATGGCTTTAAGTGACGTAATAGCTGTAGGACAACAATGGCTTTATGTGACGACTGTATGACCCACGACCAACACAACAAGCTGAGATAGTATGTTTCCGGACGGTACTTCCAGTTTTATTTCCTGAATTTTTTCAAAATTTTCTTCTTGATTTTCTTATTCACTGGAAGTTTTGCTTTGTTTTCTGTAGAATTAAATATCAGATAGAATTTTTTTTTTTTTTTTTGAATTATAGAATGTACACGTAACGTTGGTTTACTTTAAAAGTTTCAAATTGAATGTTTTACCTTCCATCAACTTTGCTTTTAAAATTTGATCCTCCATCTCGTATCTGTTATTTTAAAATTGATATAATACATACATAATAAAAATACATACATACATATATATATATATATATATATATATATATATATATATATATATATATATATATATATATATATATATACACAAACACATTTTTAAAAATACATGATTTCCTAAAATTTCGAATATGTTTCATTTTTTTAAATAATTAGATTACAGAATTAGTTACAGTTGATTAAACCCCATTTTTTTGCATTTTATGTATGACATAGGCCTACTTAATGTTTTCTTAATGTATCCAATCAGACACGCCATAACTCAGCTAATCCTCTATTCCCACTGTACCGTACAGGTAACTAAAACAAGCCCAGCCAATTAAAAAGAATGTATCTTCTGAGATCTACCTGAGTCTGTTAAAACAAGCCCAGCCAAATAAAAAGAATGTATCTCCTAAGATCTACCTGAGTCTGTTAAAACAAGCCAACCAATAAAAAAGAATGTATCTCTTAAGATCTACCTGAGTCTGTTAAAACAAGCCCAGCCAAATAAAAAGAATGTATCTCCTGAGATCTACCTGAGTCTGTTAAAACAAGCCCAGCCAAATAAAAAGAATGTACCTCATGCTCTAAGATCTACCTAAGTCTGTTAAAACAAGCCCAGCCAAAAAAAAATAATATATCTCCTGAGATCTACCTGAGTCTGTTAAAACAAGCCAACCAATAAAAAAGAATGTATCTCCTGCTCTAAGATCTACCTGAGTCTGTTAAAACAAGCCAACCAATAAAAAAGAATGTATCTCCTAAGATCTACCTGAGTCTGTTAAAACAAGCCCAGCCAAATAAAAAGAATGTATCTCCTGAGATCTACCTGAGTCTGTTAAAACAAGCCCAGCCAAATAAAAAGAATGTATCTCCTGCTCTAAGATCTACCTGAGTCTGTTAAAACAAGCCCAGCCAAATAAAAATAATATATCTCCTGAGATCTACCTGAGTCTGTTAAAACAAGCCCAGCCAAATAAAAAGAATGTATCTCCTAAGATCTACCTGAGTCTGTAAAACAAGCCCAGCCAATTAAAAAGAATGTATCTCCTAAGATCTACCTGAGTCTGTTAAAACAAGCCAACCAATAAAAAAGAATGTATCTCCTAAGATCTACCTGAGTCTGTTAAAACAAGCCAACCAATAAAAAAGAATGTATCTCCTGCTCTGAGATCTACCTGAGTCTGTTAAAACAAGCCCAGCCAAATAAAAAGAATGTATCTCCTAAGATCTACCTGAGTCTGTTAAAACAAGCCAACCAATAAAAAAGAATGTATCTCCTGCTCTAAGATCTACCTGAGTCTGTTAAAACAAGCCCAGCCAAATAAAAAGAATGTATCTCCTAAGATCTACCTGAGTCTGTTAAAACAAGCCCAGCCAAATAAAAAGAATGTATCTCCTGCTCTAAGATCTACCTGAGTCTGTTAAAACAAGCCCAGCCAAATAAAAATAATATATCTCCTGAGATCTACCTGAGTCTGTTAAAACAAGCCCAGCCAAATAAAAAGAATGTATCTCCTGCTCTAAGATCTACCTGAGTCTGTTAAAACAAGCCCAGCCAAATAAAAAGAATGTATCTCCTGCTCTAAGATCTACCTGAGTCTGTTAAAACAAGCCAACCAATAAAAAAGAATGTATCTCCTAAGATCTACCTGAGTCTGTTAAAACAAGCCCAGCCAAATAAAAAGAATGTATCTCCTGAGATCTACCTGAGTCTGTTAAAACAAGCCCAGCCAAATAAAAAGAATGTATCTCCTGCTCTAAGATCTACCTGAGTCTGTTAAAACAAGCCCAGCCAAATAAAAATAATATATCTCCTGAGATCTACCTGAGTCTGTTAAAACAAGCCCAGCCAAATAAAAAGAATGTATCTCCTAAGATCTACCTGAGTCTGTAAAACAAGCCCAGCCAATTAAAAAGAATGTATCTCCTAAGATCTACCTGAGTCTGTTAAAACAAGCCAACCAATAAAAAAGAATGTATCTCCTAAGATCTACCTGAGTCTGTTAAAACAAGCCAACCAATAAAAAAGAATGTATCTCCTGCTCTGAGATCTACCTGAGTCTGTTAAAACAAGCCCAGCCAAATAAAAAGAATGTATCTCCTAAGATCTACCTGAGTCTGTTAAAACAAGCCAACCAATAAAAAAGAATGTATCTCCTGCTCTAAGATCTACCTGAGTCTGTTAAAACAAGCCCAGCCAAATAAAAAGAATGTATCTCCTAAGATCTACCTGAGTCTGTTAAAACAAGCCCAGCCAAATAAAAAGAATGTATCTCCTGCTCTAAGATCTACCTGAGTCTGTTAAAACAAGCCCAGCCAAATAAAAATAATATATCTCCTGAGATCTACCTGAGTCTGTTAAAACAAGCCCAGCCAAATAAAAAGAATGTATCTCCTGCTCTAAGATCTACCTGAGTCTGTTAAAACAAGCCAACCAATAAAAAAGAATGTATCTCCTAAGATCTACCTGAGTCTGTTAAAACAAGCCCAGCCAAATAAAAAGAATGTATCTCCTGAGATCTACCTGAGTCTGTTAAAACAAGCCCAGCCAAATAAAAAGAATGTATCTCCTGCTCTAAGATCTACCTGAGTCTGTTAAAACAAGCCCAGCCAAATAAAAATAATATATCTCCTGAGATCTACCTGAGTCTGTTAAAACAAGCCCAGCCAAATAAAAAGAATGTATCTCCTAAGATCTACCTGAGTCTGTAAAACAAGCCCAGCCAATTAAAAAGAATGTATCTCCTAAGATCTACCTGAGTCTGTTAAAACAAGCCAACCAATAAAAAAGAATGTATCTCCTAAGATCTACCTGAGTCTGTTAAAACAAGCCAACCAATAAAAAAGAATGTATCTCCTGCTCTGAGATCTACCTGAGTCTGTTAAAACAAGCCCAGCCAAATAAAAAGAATGTATCTCCTAAGATCTACCTGAGTCTGTTAAAACAAGCCAACCAATAAAAAAGAATGTATCTCCTGCTCTAAGATCTACCTGAGTCTGTTAAAACAAGCCCAGCCAAATAAAAAGAATGTATCTCCTAAGATCTACCTGAGTCTGTTAAAACAAGCCCAGCCAAATAAAAAGAATGTATCTCCTGCTCTAAGATCTACCTGAGTCTGTTAAAACAAGCCCAGCCAAATAAAAATAATATATCTCCTGAGATCTACCTGAGTCTGTTAAAACAAGCCCAGCCAAATAAAAAGAATGTATCTCCTGCTCTAAGATCTACCTGAGTCTGTTAAAACAAGCCCAGCCAAATAAAAAGAATGTATCTCCTGCTCTAAGATCTACCTGAGTCTGTTAAAACAAGCCAACCAATAAAAAAGAATGTATCTCCTAAGATCTACCTGAGTCTGTTAAAACAAGCCCAGCCAAATAAAAAGAATGTATCTCCTGAGATCTACCTGAGTCTGTTAAAACAAGCCCAGCCAATTAAAAAGAATGTATCTCCTGCTCTAAGATCTACCTGAGTCTGTTAAAACAAGCCAACCAATAAAAAAGAATGTATCTCCAGCTCTAAGATCTACCTGAGTCTGTTAAAACAAGCCAACCAATAAAAAAGAATGTATCTCCTAAGATCTACCTGAGTCTGTAAAACAAGCCCAGCCAATTAAAAAGAATGTATCTCCTAAGATCTACCTGAGTCTGTTAAAACAAGCCAACCAATAAAAAAGAATGTATCTCCTGCTCTAAGATCTACCTGAGTCTGTTAAAACAAGCCAACCAATAAAAAAGAATGTATCTCCTGCTCTGAGATCTACCTGAGTCTGTTAAAACAAGCCCAGCCAAATAAAAAGAATGTATCTCCTAAGATCTACCTGAGTCTGTTAAAACAAGCCAACCAATAAAAAAGAATGTATCTCCTGCTCTAAGATCTACCTGAGTCTGTTAAAACAAGCCCAGCCAAATAAAAAGAATGTATCTCCTAAGATCTACCTGAGTCTGTTAAAACAAGCCCAGCCAAATAAAAAGAATGTATCTCCTGCTCTAAGATCTACCTGAGTCTGTTAAAACAAGCCCAGCCAAATAAAAATAATATATCTCCTGAGATCTACCTGAGTCTGTTAAAACAAGCCCAGCCAAATAAAAAGAATGTATCTCCTGCTCTAAGATCTACCTGAGTCTGTTAAAACAAGCCAACCAATAAAAAAGAATGTATCTCCTAAGATCTACCTGAGTCTGTTAAAACAAGCCCAGCCAAATAAAAAGAATGTATCTCCTGAGATCTACCTGAGTCTGTTAAAACAAGCCCAGCCAATTAAAAAGAATGTATCTCCTGCTCTAAGATCTACCTGAGTCTGTAAAAACAAGCCAACCAATAAAAAAGAATGTATCTCCAGCTCTAAGATCTACCTGAGTCTGTTAAAACAAGCCAACCAATAAAAAAGAATGTATCTCCTGCTCTAAGATCTACCTGAGTCTGTTAAAACAAGCCAACCAATAAAAAAGAATGTATCTCCTAAGATCTACCTGAGTCTGTTAAAACAAGCCCAGCCAAATAAAAAGAATGTATCTCCTGCTCTAAGATCTACCTGAGTCTGTTAAAACAAGCCCAGCCAAATAAAAAGAATGTATCTCCTAAGATCTACCTGAGTCTGTAAAAACAAGCCAACCAATAAAAAAGAATGTATCTCCAGCTCTAAGATCTACCTGAGTCTGTTAAAACAAGCCAACCAATAAAAAAGAATGTATCTCCTAAGATCTACCTGAGTCTGTTAAAACAAGCCAAGCCAAATAAAAAGAATGTATCTCCAGCTCTAAGATCTACCTGAGTCTGTTAAAACAAGCCCAGCCAAATAAAAAGAATGTATCTCCTGCTCTAAGATCTACCTGAGTCTGTTAAAACAAGCCAAGCCAAATAAAAAGAATGTATCCCCTGCTCTAAGATCTACCTGAGTCTGTTAAAACAAGCCCAGCCAAATAAAAATAATATATCTCCTGAGATCTACCTGAGTCTGTTAAAACAAGCCCAGCCAAATAAAAAGAATGTATCTCCTGAGATCTACCTGAGTCTGTTAAAACAAGCCCAGCCAAATAAAAAGAATGTACCTCATGCTCTAAGATCTACCTAAGTCTGTTAAAACAAGCCCAGCCAAATAAAAAGAATGTATCTCCTAAGATCTACCTGAGTCTGTTAAAACAAGCCAACCAATAAAAAAGAATGTATCTCTTAAGATCTACCTGAGTCTGTTAAAACAAGCCCAGCCAAATAAAAAGAATGTATCTCCTGAGATCTACCTGAGTCTGTTAAAACAAGCCCAGCCAAATAAAAAGAATGTATCTCCCAAGATCTACCTGAGTCTGTTAATACAAGCCAACCAATAAAAAAGAATGTATCTCCTGCTCTAAGATCTACATGAGTCTGTTAAAACAAGCCCAGCCAAATAAAAAGAATGTATCTCCTAAGATCTACCTGAGTCTGTTAAAACAAGCCTAGCGAAATAAAAAGAATGTATCTCCTGCTCTAAGATCTACCTGAGTCTGTTAAAACAAGCCAAGCCAAATAAAAAGAATGTATCTCCTGCTCTAAGATCTACCTGTCTGTTAAAACAAGCCCAGCCAAATAAAAAAAATGTATCTCATGCTCTAAGATCTACCTGAGTCTGTAAAACAAGCCCAGCCAATTAAAAAGAATGTATCTCCTGCTCTAAGATCTACCTGAGTCTGTTAAAACAAGCCAACCAATAAAAAAGAATGTATCTCCTAAGATCTACCTGAGTCTGTTAAAACAAGCCCAGCCAAATAAAAAGAATGTATCTCCTGAGATCTACCTGAGTCTGTTAAAACAAGCCCAGCCAAATAAAAAGAATGTATCTCCTAAGATCTACCTGAGTCTGTTAAAACAAGCCAACCAATAAAAAAGAATGTATCTCCAGCTCTAAGATCTACCTGAGTCTGTTAAAACAAGCCAACCAATAAAAAAGAATGTATCTCCTGCTCTAAGATCTACCTGAGTCTGTTAAAACAAGCCAACCAATAAAAAAGAATGTATCTCCTAAGATCTACCTGAGTCTGTTAAAACAAGCCCAGCCAAATAAAAAGAATGTATCTCCTAAGATCTACCTGAGTCTGTTAAAACAAGCCCAGCCAATTAAAAAGAATGTATCTACTGCTCTAAGATCTACCTGAGTCTGTCCTCGTCGATCTTCTCCACAATCTGACTCCGTTGTTCCACTACTTTTATCTTTTCATTGATCAAACTGTCCACATCGTCAAAGTTATCTGAGGGGAGAAGGGGAGGGAGGAGGTAGTGAGATTTTGTTTCAGTTTTGAATATGTCATTCTGAGAATAGGCCCATAGATTTTTTAAAGAAATCTAACTAAAGCACGCAGTTGTATTTGTTAAAATGTGCACGGTCATGTGTGATGCGGTCGAAGGGGGAGTAGGGGGAGGTTGAGAAATATGCGTCGACCACCTTTGCAATATAATAATTAATGTTCAAACCCTAATTTTACCAGTTTATTCGCAATTTAATTTTTTAAAATTGTAATTAAAGTTGATCAATATGAATGTTATTGACCAGTCTTCATTTATATTTATAAAACCCAATGTTATTTCAAAGTAAAGAAAAGCTCAATTAAAGGAGAGAGGGTCTAGGCTGAGGTATACTGTCTTATTTGTTAAGGATAGCCTGTTTGTGAATGTGTCACTTTGTGGGGCAAGGGGTTATATATGTTTATATAGAAGAGTGCTGTCGTTTGTTTTTAAAGATAGACCAGGAGAAAGAAATTATTTTTTTTAATAATACGGCGTTGATCACAATAAAATAAATAAACTATTAAAAATACTAAAGTATGGCAATACATCATTTATTCCAAATGAAGGAAAAGTAGAATTTGTAAAAATTATCCAGGGAAAGACAATTTAATGTAAAAGTATGCAACTACTTCTGATAAAACATTATCTTAGTGCAACATTGTGGAATTTTTAAAAAATAATCTTAAAATACCTGAAATACTTAAGCAGGTCTGAATTTTGGAATCGATTGTTTCTTGATTATATTCTAATGTCTTGTAAGCTAATCTAGTAGGGGAAAAATGGACAAAAATAGTTTCAGCATTAGGGCATTCAAAACAAACAATCAATTCATTTAAACGGTTTTTAAAGTTTATGTTTCTATGTGTCGACAATCTTTATTTCTGTATTTAATGTCAATGTTTCTATATATTGACAATCTTTATTTAATGATTATATTTTTATATTATGTTGAAGCTCTTTTTTTAATGTCAATATTTTTATATTTCAACAGTGTTTTTTTTTAATGTCAATATTTCTATATGACGATATATTCTATAAAAAATGAAATAAAACATAAACCTTTCTACAACTATAGTTACCGGTTATAAGCGGCTACACAAAGCTCTAGCCTACTCACAGGTCAATGATCTCAGCCTCCTCCCTGACCAGTTTGTTTTTCTCACTGACCAGCTGGATCCACTCCCCCAGGAGCTGATCGTCCGAGTTGTCCCCCATGTTTACTGAAATAATATGGCAGGCACTAGCTGAGGCAATACGTTCTTTTAGATATTACATTAACGGTAGGTTTCAATGTACTAGTTTAATGTAAACACATACTAAGTCAGTCTTTGAACACAATGTAAATATTTATTTGTGTTTAAAATCAAACAAAAAAAAAAAGTTACCCATTGACTCCTCGAGTTCTCTCCCTCTTTTCTCTAGTGCGGCAAACTTTTCGGAATTTGCAACCAATTCCTGCTCCAGATTTCTTGATTTCAATTGGTCCGAATCTGGAATCTGGAAATGTGAAATATTTACTTTTTGCACTGTATATTCCTACATATTGTTAATTTATTTTATTTTATTTAACTTCCGAGAAATGCTATAAATTACCACAGTCTGTTTTGAAGCTTGTGCTCCTATCTCCTCGTAAATTTTCTCCAAATTAGCTGGCTCGGGTAAAGATTTCTGTTTGTCCATACTTAGCTTGGCTTCCCCTGTGTTGACGGGCTCGTAGCCTAAACTAGCGGCTGAGCTAGTCTCTAGAAAAACACACATGTCAGTACGCTCACTAATGGAGCTACCATCAGTTATGAAGACATCATCATCAGCTTGCTTGTCTGAATCAGACGTCTCCCTAGTAGCTGTGGCTTCATCTGATCTTTCTTTTGTTGGCTTCTCCTCGCTCAAAATGTCCAGTTTTAGTAACTGTTCGTTGATGTTGATATTATCAAAGGTGGTTAGTCCATGTTTTTCTATACTTTCTTCAATATCCATAGGTATAGATAATTGTGGCTTCAGCATCTCCACATTTTGAACATCTTCCTCAGGCTTTTGGCAGTTATTTGTGTTGTCTTTGTTAACTAACACAGTGTCACAATTTGTGTAATTGTGTTCTGTCACATCGTTATGTTGTGACGTAGATTCTAACACAAGTAATTGATTGCCTTCACTTGCTGTTTTATCCGTGGGTTTACAGTCTACATCAGCTGTACCATCTCTCTCGCTCTGTTGTGCCGCTCTACTGTTCTCTGTACCTACCATAGAACTATCACACTCATCACCTGAGGCCTTAGCATCAGTCAAGCTTTGCGACTGGTTGGGATCTTCTACATCTGTACCTAACACGGCACCATTAGCTGGCACAGATACCCCGTCAGTTGGCACAGATACCACGTCAGCTGTCAAACTTTCAGGTTCGCTTTGAATTAATCCTTCACCGTTTTCTCTATCTGGTTCTACACAGACGTCAGACCCTGCAATAACATTTTGTTCTGTACCTGGTACTACAGTAACCTCTGACTCAGATATTGTATTGTTTTCTGTACCTAGTCCTGCTGTAACATTTGACCCAGCCATAGCATTTTGTCCTGTTTCTTGTCCTGCTGTCACATCTGCCCCTGCCATAGCAGCTTGTTGAGCAGCCTCTATGTTGACTTTATGCGCCCGGGCGAGTTTGGGCGTACATATCTTGTAGACGAGACTGGCTTTAGACATGTCACTGAAGTTGTAGCACGTTCTGTGGTAGAGCTTCCCCTCCACAATGTGTCGCTCCAGTAGGTAGACTTTACTTTTACACAGGACACACGTCTCGCCAAACTTGCCTGTGTATTTGTTCGTGCTAGCCTGGTAAAGTAGTGTATATTCAATCTTAATGTTACAATGTAATATATTTTGTAATAACTTATTCAAACATATGCAATATATTACATTTTTATGAAATTAATTCGAAAACCGGTGTCTCTCAAAATACAGGATACATTCATCTAGATTTAATGTTGTTTTGCTTGTTCATGTTTTTGCTCTTGCTTTTTAAAAATCATTTTTTTTAAAATTAACACATCTTGTCAATTTTCCTACAGGCCTAAAATATTAGTGCCTCCCCCCCCCCCCCCTCTCCCGGAGAAAAAAGTCTAAAAGAAACACTGCATGTGAAGTATTATTAAAATTTAACACAGCTGAAAATATATACAGTTGAACTAACCGTTGCTGAAGAGTTATTTCCCTTTACTTCAATGGCCGGGTTGAAAGCACGAACATCAGGTCCGCCATCTTAAAAGATGAACAAAAAGGTTAGCTGTACATACTGATGGTTAGCTCATTACATGAACAGATTTAACAAAAAAGAACTATGGGTTTAGCTGTATTCGTTACAATAAATACGTTATTACTACCCTTAAAAATTTAAATTATTGGAATGATAAAATACAACAGTGTTTACTTGGAGAAAATTAATAAGTAAGACTTACTCTGAGGTAAGGGATGCAGCACGGTGTAGTACTCAGACACATACGTCACTATGCTCAGCTTGTCTGGTACCTTCAACCTCGCCATGTCCTCAACGTTCAGGAAAATTGGGATCTTTAGGTGTTTCTCTGCTGTCTCAAAGGCCTTTTTCAAAGTAACAAACAATACACAATAAATTGGGATATTTAGGTGTTTCTCTGCTGTCTTAAAGGCCTTTTTCAAAGTAACAAAACACACACAATAAATTGGGTTCTTTAGACGTTTCTTGTCTTTCAAAGTCCTTTTTCAAAATAACAAAACACACACAATAAATACTCAACATCTGGTGTTTTAAAGTATTTTATGTCCAATAATCGATAACGTGAGGATTTAATTTAAAACACATAAAATTAATTATTATTAAAGATGATATAAAGTTTGTAAATGATTTAAAAACAAAGTGATCAACTAGTGTATATAACATAAATTTATCATAGATAGTAACACTGTCTAAACCATCCTAATGACGCCTCATTAACCACTTAAAACACTTGACGTGATGGTTACAGATCTTGAACTATTCTGTGGATATTGAACACCAAACAAACCATAGACCTACAAGTTTAAATCTTACAAAGAACATAAAAGTTCAAATTTAACACACAAAAAACACACTTACAAGTTGAAATTAAAAAAAAAAACACACAAGTCCGATTCTAACAATGAACATACTTACAAGTTCAAATCTAACAAAGAACATACAGGTTTAAATCTAACAAAGAATATACTTACAGGTTTAAACCTAACAAATAACATTCTTACAAGTTTAAACCTAACAAAGAACATACTTACAAGTTTAAACCTAACAAAGAACATACTTACAAGTTTACAGTTTTGGAAAACGTTTTCTGGTGTCAGCGAATGGTAGTCACTGCGGAAAACAAAAACTAAAAAATAAACTCGGCCATCTCTTGATGGGCTGGGAGGGGGGGGGGGGGGAGGGGGATACAAGAAATACTAGAACATATAGGATGTAAAACACTGGCACCCTGATTTTGGTTTCTCTTATGGTCTACATTCTGGGCTACGTCATAAATAAAGTTGTTTTGTTTAACCGTTAATTCTAGTGCGATTTCCACACTTAGCATACCATTAACTAGTTGAATATCTAGAACGTTCTATTATCACCCAAGATAAACATTTGTAAAGATAGGTGAGATTGCTTTATCCACGACACATAGCGTTTTAACGCTGGACAAGCAGCAATTAACGCTGTCAGATGGTCAGATCCCATCAGAGGATTTTATTCTCTTGTAAAGTGAAACCTATATAATATCGCGAATACTTACTTGTTAACAGCGTTTAATCTAATGAATATATAAAGAGACTAGCCAATAGAATCCTATAATCCTGGCCTCTGGGCCTAGAAAAAAAAAACGTTGCACCTACATTAACTCGGGCCTGAACCTGTGTATGAGGGCACAGAAGGCCAGCCCATTCCTCCAGGACGTCGTGAAGTTGTTGATCTTGACGTGGTCGTAGCCGTCAGTCATCTGTTGACTCCACGATCTCAGTTTCTCCCACTCAGACCTGGGTAACGCCATCAGGTCAGAGGTTAAATCGTCTCAACTAAACTTAACCACTTAGCGACACTTAGCCACAGGAACACAATGAGAGTTTGAAGGTTTTAAAGTCTAAAACTGATCGCACTGAATCACACACTAACTTTATTGAAACTCTCAACAACAAATAGTGTTGTGCGGGTTTTCTTGAAAAGTTACGGGATAAAAATAGCAACAGGTAAAACCCGATAAATCTAACACCGTCTTTATATTACAGGGAAGTTACAATAAAACTAATCGATTTATAGAAGCAACGGTTAAACTGTGACGTCATCCAGCGTATACAGAAAGATTGTCTTATCTGTTTTAGGCCCTAACAATCATACAAGAGTAGATAATAAAAATATTGTAAAACAAGAAATAGGCCTAGATCTACTAATATACTATTTTTAGAAAAAGAAAACACTCGATACATTGACTAAATGCAAATGTAAATTCGGATTTTGAATTCAATGGGTATTTCCATTAAGTTTAGAAGGGCAAATGGCCCATTATCTATTTTAATAACATTGTTATTGCAGGAATTCTACACATAGCTTGTCTCGTTATCTATGTTCGAAACATTACTAATGTCTTTTTTTTTTAATATGATAATTTTTCCAAGTGAAGACTTTTCATAATGATTTAACATCCCCTCAAAATAAACAACTCTAACATTTCAAAGTCATTTTAAGTTTTTAAGCAGATATAATACAACGAGTTTGAACTAATGAAATTAAACAGCTTTTGTGGTTAGGTGCCTTCACTACATCTAAATATTGGTGTCTGTGCTACTTCTATATATTAGTGTCTGTGCTACTTCTATATATTAGTGTCTGTGCTACATCTATATGTCTGTGCTACTTCTTTATATATTGGTGTCTGTGCTACATCTATATATTGGTGTCTGTGCTACATCTATATTGGTGTCTGTGCTATTTTTATGTATTGGTGTCTGTGCTACATCTATATATGAAAATGAAATTAAACAGCTTTTGTGGTTAGGTGCCTTCACTACATCTAAATATTGGTGTCTGTGCTACTTCTATATATTAGTGTCTGTGCTACTTCTATATATTAGTGTCTGTGCTACATCTATATGTCTGTGCTACTTCTTTATATATTGGTGTCTGTGCTACATCTATATATTGGTGTCTGTGCTACATCTATATTGGTGTCTGTGCTATTTTTATGTATTGGTGTCTGTGCTACATCTATATATTGGTGTCTGTGCTACATCTATATTGGTGTCTGTGCTACTTCTATATACTGGTGGCTTTGCTACATCTATATATTGGTGTCTCTGTTACATCTATAGATTGGTGTCTGTGCTACTTCTATATATTGGTGTCTGTGCTACATCTATATATTGGTGTCTGTGCTACATCTATATATTGCTGTCTGTGCTACTTCTATATATTGATGTCTGTGCTATATCTATATATCGATGTCTGTGCTACTTCAATATATTGATGTATGTGCTACTTCTAAATATTGGTGGCTGTGCTACTTCTAAATATTGGTGTCTGTGCTACATCTATATATTGGTGTCTGTGCTACTTCTATATGTCTGTGCTACATCTTTATATTGGTGTCTGTGCTACTTATATATATATATATATTGGTGTCTGTGCTACATCTATATATTGTTGTCTGTGCTACTTCTATATATTGATGTCTGTGCTACATCTATATAATGGAGTCTGTGCTACTTCTATTTATTGTGCTCTATGTTACTTCTACATATAAGACAGAAATACCCGAGAACAATGAATGTTAAGAAAATGTGTATCCTAATCCAAAACATCATGTATCTTGTCAACTTTGTTGTCAAATACAGCGATCGTCTCTGTTGTAAGACATTTCTGTCTTAAAGTGTACTATATGTGCCATACTTGTCTTAAAGTGTACTATATGTGCTATACATGTCTTAAAGTGTACTATATGTGCCATACTTGTCTTAAAGTGTACTATATGTGCTATACGTGTCTTAAAGTGTACTATATGTGCTATAGGCCTACTTGTCTTAAAGTGTACTATATGTGCCATACTTGTCTTAAAGTGTACTATATGTGCTATACGTGTCTTAAAGTGTACTATATGTGCTATACGTGTCTTAAAGTGTACTATATGTGCTATACTCTTCTTAAAGTGTACAATATGTGCTACACTTGTCTTAAAGTGTACTATATGTGCCATACTTGTCTTAAAGTGTACTATATGTGCTAGAGGCCTACTTGTCTTAAAGTGTACTTTATGTGCTATACTCTTCTTAAAGTGTACTATATGTGCTATACTCTTCTTAAAGTGTACTATATGTGCTATACGTGTCTTAAAGTGTACTATATGTGCTAGAGGCCTACTTGTCTTAAAGTGTACTATATGTGCTATACTCTTCTTAAAGTGTACTATATGTGCTATACTCTTCTTAAAGTGTACTATATGTGCTATACTCTTCTTAAAGTGTACTATATGTGCTATACTCTTCTTAAAGTGTACTATATGTGCTATACTTGTCTCAAAGTGTACTATATGTGCTATACTTGTCTTAAAGTGTACTATATGTGCTATACGTGTCTTAAAGTGTACTATATGTGCTATACGTGTCTTAAAGTGTACTATATGTGCTATACTTGTCTTACAGTGTACTATATGTGCTATACGTGTCTTAAAGTGTACTATATGTGCTATACTTGTCTTAAAGTGTACTATATGTGCTATACGTGTCTTAAAGTGTACTATATGTGCTATACGTGTCTTAAAGTGTACTATATGTGCTATACGTGTCTTAAAGTGTACTATATGTGCTATACTCTTCTTAAAGTGTACTATATGTGCTATACGTGTCTTAAAATGTACTATATGTGCTATACTCTTCTTAAAGTGTACTATATGTGCTACACTTGTCTTAAAGTGTACTATATGTGCCATACTTGTCTTAAAGTGTACTATATGTGCTATACATGTCTTAAAGTGTACTATATGTGCTATACGTGTCTTAAAGTGTACTATATGTGCTAGAGGCCTACTTGTCTTAAAGTGTACTATATGTGCTATACTCTTCTTAAAGTGTACTATATGTGCTATACTCTTCTTAAAGTGTACTATATGTGCTATACTTTTCTTAAAGTGTACTATATGTGTTATAGGCCTACTTGTCTTAAAGTGTACTATATGTGCTTACTTGTCTTAAAGTGTACTATATGTGCTATACATGTCTTGAAGTGTACTATATGTGCTATACGTGTCTTAAAGTGTACTATATGTGCTATACGTGTCTTAAAGTGTACTATATGTGCTATACGTGTCTTAAAATGTACTATATGTGCTATACGTGTCTTAAAGTGTACTATATGTGCTATACTCTTCTTAAAGTGTACTATATGTGTTATAGGCCTACTTGTCTTAAAGTGTACTATATGTGCTATACTTGTCTTAAAGTGTACTATATGTGCTATACATGTCTTAAAGTGTACTATATGTGCTATACTCTTCTTAAAGTGTACTATATGTGCTATAGGCCTACTTGTCTTAAAGTGTACTATATGTGCTATACTTGTCCACGCCATAAACGTGCTATGGCTACTATTGTGCCAAGGAACAACTTAAGTTTGTACAAACAATGAATTGACTACGTGTTCTCTCCAGTATTACACATACATCATTTAAGACTGTACATTAAACCAACAATAAAGAGGGGATTTGTTAATATAAGCAACGGCTCTAATCAAATAGTTGGCATTGGCACTTTCTTGTAGTGGCTATAGAGGGCATAAAGTTAGAGTGTTTTTGTGGCATGCACCATTTTGTAATCTTTTTTATCTTGGTTTAGTATCTTTTTATGTCATTTTAAAATCCAATCCGTACCCCAAGCACGTTGAGCCCACAGATAACGAAAGGTTGACGGTGATTCTATTTTTCTCTTCAGATAACATGTATACTTTAATACGTGGAGCAGAGAAGTATAACGTTTAGCTTAAGTTTAGATCCTGTGCCCTCAAGATAAGGTAATTAATATTTATTTATTTATTAACACAATTTATCTGCATATGATAAATAGGTCTACTTTTTAAAATGATAAGTTTTATCTTAACAAAACGTTGTTAAAAACAAATATTTCTGTGACACATCCCCTTGACGTAAATATAACTTGCACCACTTGTAGTACAATAATTTATAAATTAATAATTTCAGCCATGAAACTTTCTAGCAGTAATGTATTTATTGTGTGGGGAATCATAACACTCGTCTACCCAGGTAAGTGAGAAATTTAAGTCGCATGTAAAAGTATAACAACTCAACTGTTGTCACAGCTAGAGTTTGAATTACAAAACCTAATACATTATTACAAGTTGAATGTTGTACTGACAGAAATATAAGAGCTCCTAAATTGACGCCACCAAAACAATGTCGGGGCAAATTTTATTTTACACTCACAAATACACGAGTTAAGTGTTCTTTAAATAATGGATACAGTGTTAATTTTATTTTTTTCCATTCAGATGTCGAGGCAGCATCGAGAGTATTTTGGTCGGAAGATGGTCAACAATTTCTATGCCACTGTGCGAACCAAATGTGCTCTAATGAGGGGGACTGTCAGCCTGGTTTTAGCTGTGATAGGGGATGGTTCGGGCCAAAATGTCAATATGGTGACTTCTTCATTAGTTCTGGTCTAAACATTCTTAATTAAAATGTTGACATATTTTTTTCAACAAGAAAGTGAAATATATATATATATATATATATATATATATATATATATATATATATATATATATATATATATATATATATATATCTTATATTGTTGCAGAGGATTTGGCAATCATGAGTACGTTAAACACGTCAGATTATTTTCAATTGACGGATGTCAACGATTCAACCTGTGTACCCAATATGACGTCACTGAAAATGGTGTGGGACGTGCCGTACGAATTTACTTGGATTCAGCTAACTCTAGAACCAGATGGTAATGTAACCTGAGACCAGTTAGTATTCCGGTGTGATATTTTGGTAGACGGGTGCGCTAGAGGGTTCAAGCTGGAATGCCTGGCATGTATTTTTGATGACACCAATGTCCATGTGATTATTAGTAAGGCAAAAAAAAAGAGGCGAACATTATATTAGTTTTTTGGACTCAGCACAAGTTGAAACCAAATTTTCAAAAACCCTTGATATCTTCCTGTGGTTAAAATAACCGCATACAGCCAATGGGTTCTTGTTTCGTTAGTACATGAATGTGGCTATCTTGTCATTCCCACAACTGTCCATACAGTAATAATTCCCGTGATGGTGTGTTCTCAATGGGCCTAACTATTGTCTGTTGTCCAGATCTCAAAACAAATTCTTGGCAGCTTGTGTATCATGTTTTACTCTTTATTCTAGGTTTTACTTACCCTAAATACACATGTCTACAACTAAGTGTATGTAATAAAACCCTTGTGTTTCAGGCGTGATTGACATTCTATAATTTATAACAGACACGTCAAAATTGTGTTGACATTTCTATTTTTAAATTTCAGAAGGCGGAGAAGCACAATTTTATGTTACCGATGGCCATAACTGTATGAATATAACACGAACCTATCCAAGTCGGAAAGAACTGTATGAATTCAACATAGACTTGTATTTTAACACAAACTCAAGGTCCGAAAGCCTTTCTATTATGTGGACTGGAGTCAGATCTGTGTGCTCATTGCACATTAGTGGTGGTACGTAGGCCTATATAATATATATATATATATATATATATATATATATATATATATATATATATATATATATATATATATATATATATATATATATTACTTGAGTTAGTGTCTATGTATATGTCCAATTGCTAAATTTCACAACTTTAAATGTATCCTGACAAAATTAGAAAAAAAATAATACCTAAAGGATGTACCTAACAGGTCGTAACGTGGCCCTGAATGAATCAGCCAGCCAATCCTCTACCTACCAACATAACTTCCCGTTCCCTGTCTCGCTGGAGGCTGCCAACGCTGTGGACAAACAACAGCGTGGAATCCAGCAGCTGTAGCCACACACAGAACGGAACTGGTCAGTTCTGACAAGTTGTGTTCACACACACCCTGGCGGTCAACAGATACGTCATCTACAACAGGAATCTTTTAGCAGGTGGCATTTATTTTAAATAAGTAAATAATCTAGTATACAATTAACCTTTTAGTTTTCGTCCAAGTTAAGAATAATATTTACTGTTAATTAATAAATGTGTGTGAAGCATGAATGATGATACAATAATGCTGAAGTTGAATTTTTTGTTGTTAATTCAATCCTTATTAAATACTACAGACTAAATAATCTATTTGAAATCAAATTTTTCTAGCCAATATACCCAATGCCTTATTTCACCATGTTTTAGAGAGACTCAAAGGTTTCACACTTGAAAGTGGCGAGGACGAATCCAACCCAGCCTTTACATACACCGACACAGAGGCACAGCCTAGGCAGATATACACCATCACGACACTAACCCAGCGGGATAGATACGTTAAAATTAAACCATTTGATGAGGCCACGTACCTCACACTGTGTGAGGTGCAGGTGTTTGGAGGTAAATTGAGATTTATTTCCCCGGAAGTTGCTATTTCTATCGATTACAAAACGATATCAATATGTTGTTATTTTGTGTAAACTACTTAGATACGATATGTAAAGCCGGCTGGTACGGCATGGGATGCAACCAACCATGTAGCTGTGCCCGGGGAAAATGCCACACAACAACAGGTGCTTGTCTAGAGGGCTGTGACCCTGGGGTCACTGGGGTCATCTGTACTCAAGGTACTTTATATGTTGTTTGTTAAAAAACATGGTCCTCCTATAATATAAGTGTATGCTTATATTGCTTTATCCTAAACTATAAAACCTAGAAAATATTTTTTATTACAAGATTTGAAACTACAAAATATTTATAATTACAACTAAAAATACAACTTTTTTTCTGTAAATGAAAGGCTGCCACTTTATCAATAAGGTCTAACCTTTCATATAATGTAACACCAAATATGTCAAACTGTCTCAGGTTGTCAAGACGGGACGTGGGGTCCTGGTTGTCAGGAAAGTTGTGACAGTTGGTGTATCAATGATACTTGTGACAGTCGGTGTATCAATAATACTTGTGACAGTCGGTGTATCAATAATACTTGTGACAGTGGGTGTATCAATAATACTTGTGACAGTCGGTGTATCAATGATACTTGTGACAGTCGATGTATCAATAATACTTGTGACAGTCGGTGTATCAATGATACTTGTGACAGTCGATGTATCAATAATACTTGTGACAGTCGGTGTATCAATGATACTTGTGACAGTCGATGTATCAATAATACTTGTGACAGTGGGTGTATCAATAATACTTGTGACAGTCGGTGTATCAATAATACTTGTGACAGATTCAACGGGTTGTGTTTACTTGGGAGTGATAGACCCACATGTGTTACAGGTTCATTGTACATTTAGGTCTTTTCTTTAGTTTACCACACTTTTTAAAATTCCTTATATATATATATATATATATATATATATATATATATATATATATATATATATATATATAAGAACCGATATTTCGGATATATTTATGAATTTCGTGAGTTTTTATTTCTATACTTTAAAAACTAATCATGTATTTAACTCGTATTGAGGAATAGTTAACGTTTTTTCAATAACATTGTAGGCCTATATGTATACATTTTAATCAAATAAAAACAAGCTTTGAAATTTTTCAACAAGTATAAATGTTTATTTTAATGTAATTTTTATCCCAGAACATTCCTTGTCTTGGTGTAGTGTATTAATAGCAGGTAGCGAAGGAGAGTTTTAAGAGGGGAAATCACTCTTCATGTCATCTTTAAAATACTCTCTACAGAGTTGCAGGACTCTATAGGCAGTTCCAAAAACAACGCTGCTACTATCGGGCTTTCTGTCGGTATTTCATCAGCGGTGGTGATTATCGTTATTGTCATTATAGCTATCATCTACCTCAAGAGAAAAAGAAAGCTGTCGAGAAAATCAGACCCAGGCCAACAAGTTTACGACCATTTTGATGCCGGCGCCCATGAACATCACGAATATAACCTGGTAGAATCTGACAGGAAACAAAAGGTGTCAGGTGACCAAGGTGACATGTCAACATACGATCAGATATGTGTCAGGGGCTCGTCTAAACACGTCTACAGTACGCCTATTAGAGTTGGTGAGTACAGATATACATAGTAGCTGGAAAATGCAGGCATACATACCATAGTAGAGGGTGAATACATAGTGCCTGGTGAAACACAGACTTAGTAGTTGATGAATACAATTATATATAAATGTATATATATATATATATATATATATATATATATATATATATATATATATATATATATATATATATATATATATATAGTAGCCGGCGAACACAAACTTATACATAGTAGTTGGGGGACTCAAGATATTTATACATAGTAGCTATACATACAGATATATACATAGAAGCTAGTAAATACACGTTTCATCAGCAATACCCAAATAATACATGTAGGCTTACTCGCATGTATAGCCAGTCACAATCGCCTTACACTATCTCGCATTAAACTACAACACTGTCTAATTTATTTCGGCCTAACCAACACCCAGCAAACTCTAATTATGTCACAGTAAACTTGCTACTAAACCTGTTTCACAACTCAACAAAACACATTGTAGCCAAGGTTGATCGGAGACTAGGATATCATTGGTAATGTTTGACAGAAAACGTTTTTCAATTAATGTACTTAAAGCTATATTTTCTTTATTAACATTTTCATCTTTACAAAAACAATAACAATGTCGTTTCCTTACTTTCACATTTTATACTTTGCATACAGAAAATGATTACGTCCATCCGAGTTCATGTACGCCAACACGACAAATGAAAGCCAAGAAAAACCTAACAACACAGTTTGCACCAATCATAACCCACTCAACAATGGCATCAAGTCTGTCAGTGAAACGTAACAAGTGGGAGAAGTGTTGAAGAAAATGACAATATTTAAATAGTTTCCTCATCGACATATGACTCCACATATATCCATGTACAACATGATTTTATTATAAATCGTAACTGCTTCCAGTTAATTCATCTATTACATCTACACCCAAGTCTTGAAGAGAAATGTTTCTTTCAGACTATTTTTCCTGTATTTCGTTTTGGGGGTGGGAGGTAGATGTTCTTCAAAGAATTACCCAAAAGAAAATCTGTTGACGATATATATATATATATATATATATATATATATATATATATATATATATATATATATAAATATATATATATATATATATATATATATATATATATATATATATATATATATATGCTTATGTTTTGTGTTCTGATATAACATAATTTATACAAATTTTTGTAAAAAGTATATTTAAAATCTATTTATAGTTATTATAAATGTTAAACTTTACTCCATTTTCTGTGAACAGTAATGGATTGATTAAAGCTTGTGGCTTTTTCTTCGTTTTATTCAAATTGTAAATGTGAGGCTATTTTATCCAACACTTCTAAACATTACATGTCAACATGGTGTGCGCCGTATAGCCCATTGACTCCAACATCAGATTGCTTCACTTTATGGATTTGCTTTCAAAAACAACATACTAAGCCGCAGTAGTTTGATTCTTGAGTTTTCTCTCTTAGATAGGTTGCTGTTCCCATCTAACAAGCCTCGTCTGACGGGGTTCCAATCCAGAACTTTTGGAGTATGTCGCATTTAAAGACAATTTATTCTTATAGTTTAAACACATAATTCAAACTGCTATTACGTAGAAACAATGTAATAAAATATACCAACAAAACTTTAAGTTAAATTATTAACTTCCCGAAAGTATCTAAAACAATTTATTATATATTGTAATCATATTTATGTATATTCTCGTATACCAGAAAACAGATTAAATAGGCTACATAATTAAAAAGCTGGTTGTAGGTGTCCAACTTGTAATTTTATTTTTACTACTATCAACATATAGACAATTTAACTGCTATTTTGTGAGGATTTCCTGATACTGTGTTCGCTGTTTTCCAATATCTTCAAAATCAACAGCGTCATAAACATTAGCACTTTCATTATGACCAACATTTAATTGTACTGGTCCCCCAATGTTTCTTGTCTCTGCTACTTCTTCATAGTTCCTGTTCTGCTCTGAAAAATATATTAACAGTTGGCAAAGCAAATTGCTTTTAGCTGAAGATACTTTAGTTAAAAATTAATTGATCGCAGCAATATCTTGAAAATAGAGGTTGTTTTTTTTTAAAGAGAATGGCATTAAGTTTGAATTAAACGTATTCGACCCAAAGCCATAATGTACTATATGCTAATGTACTTATTCTCTTGTATTATTAATGTGGCCGATTATGCCAACAAAGATACGTTTTCATAATTGAATACATAAGATAGAATTGTATTAACAGATATGTGTGATCAAATAGATTATATCTAAACACCATGTAAAGTTATGTTTAAGTTTCATATAATTTCTAGTTATGTAATGTTTTTGGGTTTTTTTTTAGTTTACTTCGCTCGACGAAATCATCGATCAAGACCTGTTATGTAAATGACATATCAACCAACCGCTACTTTAATTGATTTAATAAACAACGCAGATGCACTGTTTACCTGTTTGTTGCTTGCCTGTTGGAACAGTTTCCTCCCTTATTTGATAGGGTCCCAAATTTCTGCCTATGATCAACAACTTTAAACGATGTAAGATGGCTGTAATTATCACAATTACAATAGTTGTAAACACAACTCCAACTCCAATACCAATACCTATGCCATCAGCTCTTCCGTCAAAACAATGGAGTTCTATATGACAACATACATTTATATATTGTATATATGTATTATAACATAACATATGTGCTTACATTTTAACGTGATAGTGTTTATTTAGGCTACTCAATATCATTTAGACATAACTAAACACCTAAACGTAATACAGAAACACGCTGCGAGACAGGCGGATAAATATAGAACCCAAAATACCCTGTGTGCAAGCCGGAGGCTGATGAGCGTCTTTACATCCTTTATCACAGTCTCCATTAAACCTGTTACAGGTGTTGTCTATACAACGGTCATTACAGCTTTGGTTACAGCTGATGCCCCAGGTGTGTGGCTCACAGGCTGATCACAGCGAGATCAAAAATATAGTTTTTAATGTAGCATCTCAAAGACACCTGCTAAATGTGTATGTCCTTAATTAGAGTGTAATTGTAAACATTTCAAACTGAATAATTATATATGTGACCTCTCAACACAATAAAGGTGTATTCAGTAAATTTTAAAAGAGAGTTAGAAAATGATTATAAGATTTTTTTAAAAATCATTTTGAATTAATTTCATTGTGTGGGAGAGGATTGGCTACACATGTGGTATAATAAAAGTGGGGTGATCTTTTGAAAGATTACAAGTCATTACGAGGGTCATTTGATTCATTTTGTCATTCCAGAACTTGTACAACCAAAACTTATATGATGTTTAACGTTGAAAGTATAGTGGTGTATTTACCCTTTTGACAAGCCTCCCCATAGTACCCAGCCTTACAGCCAGAAGGACATCCTCCAGTAGCAACAAAACAAGCTTCGTCTGTAGCACAGTTACAAGTCTTCTCACATTCTAGGCCAAACTTGCCCCAATCACAGTTTGAATCTGAAAGTTTGTTTTATAGAAGTTGTCTGTTACTTTCAACTTTAATCTTTACGTCTATACTGTTGTCCTATATTCACAACAACCCTGTTGTATTAAAAGTCAGAGGTATTAGTTGCATTAATTAGTTTCAAACTATTCTGTCTAACTAATAGTAATTAATCTGTAAATATTGTGTAATTAGAAATATAACTCCTAAATAAATACATTTTACATAGCCACTCTTACCAAGGTTAGTGTGTTTCTTTTTACTAAATTTCGCCTATCTAACAAATAATATATTTTTACTTGATTATTTCATTTTTAAAATTGTGTAACGTAGATAAAAACATATTAAAGCTGTTGCACATAATCGCACTTTTTAATCAGTAAAAATTAAACATTTCTCTCTACCATTGGAAATTTGCTGTGTCGTGGTTTTACAAATTTTTAAAGCTCTGCACAAAAAATGCAATTAAGCATTTGACTCATGTAGTATTTAAGTACTAAAAGCAAAGCCCATTTGACAACAGTCACAAAAAGTGGGAACGACACAATCGTTAAAATCTGAAAAAAGTTTAATTTCATTTCCTATATTGGTACTTTTTGCTGTGTTCAACACGTATTTCTTTGTTCTTCTTAGACTTACTAAGACAATTATTATATTGGGCACATGAAGCTTGTTAGATAGGGACACAACTCATTTAGGGATTAAAACTCCAAAATCAGACAAGATTGTAGCCCCTTGTGCGACAGGTTTTTGTTCCGGTAGCTTCTGGAACAGAGGTTGGTACCAAAAGTATTGCTGGACTTTCCTTTAGAGCAGGGGTCTCCAAACTACGGCCCGGGGGCCGGATACGGCCGGCGAGGTCCTCTCATCCGGCCCGCGGCGATCTTTTTGTCCACTGAATAAAACGTTTGTTGGTGATGGCTGAGGAACTTTGCCCAGAAAAATCAAAGACATGCCTGGAATTAACTGGCCCCCCGAAATGAAATTTGATAGTTAATGCGGCCCTCGGACTGAAAAGTTTGGAGACCCCTGCTTTAGAGAATACTTCAGACAAGAGAGTAAACACGGTGCATGGGCAATACATGAACGCTTCATCTAATGCCCAGGTGCGCGACCTTCGAGTTGCACTTCAACGGGTGCATCCAACGTCACCAGAGGTCAGACAAGCCATAGTATTATCTACGTATTATATCTGTAATTTGAGATTATCTTATCTACAGTAAGTCTAGCATTAAAAAAATAATATTAGTTGGTACTGAAAAATTAACTATTTAAAAATTCAATTTTAGTACAACGTCGAGAGTGTGAAAACACAATATTAAAGTAGTGAAGGGAGTAGTTTCCTTTTATTTTTCACAGAGGCGTATCTAGGTTTTCGTTGTAGGGGGAGCGAAAAGAGCAACAAAATATATATATATATATATATATATATATATATATATATATATATATATATATATATATATATATATATATATATATATATATATTAACTAGCTGTATGTCATTACTTCGCTATGATGTAAAATAAATTAAAAGTAGCTCTCTGAAGAAATAAGAAAAAAAAACACACAATGTAGGCCGACAAAACAAAAATTGTATCAATCTAAACAAACAAAAAAATATATACACACACTACAACCAAAAACAATGAACGTAACACAAAGTTTTGTAATTCTTGTTACAAAAAATTCTTACATAATAATTCCTGGGAAATTATTTAAGACTTAACAGATCATTTTCGGGGGTGGGGGGTGGGTGGGTTCAACTTAATTCAACGCTGTCCGGTCACTTTAGCTCAATAATCCAACCCAGTGTATACCTTGCTGTGACATTAGTGTCGCTCTACACAATTGTGGTGGTGAGGTGTGTGTGTGTGTGGGAGGGAGATAACCAACTCAGAGTGACCATAGCGTCAGTTTTTAGATGACTGTTCTAAACATACATATATATTACACAAATATATATTACACAAATATATATTACAGAAATAGATTTAAATAAGTAGCAGCGGTATTATGACAATATTTTTTTTACAGAGGGGTTCATGGGGGAGGGGAGTTGTAACTGTTTCATATAATTTGTAATCGTAATCACTATCGTCCAAGCTGTAAGAATACTACTACTTCTTCGTGATGACGTTTTTGACCTTGTCAAAATGTCCCCACCACTACGCAGTTTGCTCATAAGTAAATTTAAATAGAGGTGCCACATCAGTTGTATTTGTTTCTGTATTGTAATTATTTAAAAATTAATCACATGATTCAAACTGTATATATAAAGTAATTATGCGTGAAGTTTTATGTATGTAAGCCCTGCTAGGGGGGGGGGGATACCTTAAAATCTATCTTACCCTTCCCTAGGCTTAACTAACTAATCTGTCCGGTCAGTGCAACCGTGGTAGAACCCACAGTGGTTAAACCTAACCTTAGTCTAAATAATAAGCTACTAAAATAAAACAAAAACTTTTAACAATTTAATAAAATTTATTGCATGGAACCAAAAGTTATAAAAGAAGAATAGATAAAAACTACCACAAAACAGAACCAAACGAAACAAACTTTTTACATCAAACAAAACATTACGTTTGACCATTTGCTGGTGTTGCACCGACTTATGATGTCTAGGATGGTCCAGGCCCTGACACACAGAAACCTCCCTTCATCCATTCTCGACATCCAAAAGTCCACACCAAACAAAACACTACGTAAAACCACTACGTACAATACGTTACGTACAATACATTACGTAGAAAACAATACGTACACAACAAACTTTTTACACCAAACAAAACAATTCATATATAACAAAACACCCAGCCAAGTTGCCCAAGCAACCTCACTCCACGCGTGCGGTGCGCCACGCAGAAACCTGACCCGACCTACATCTCGCCGCGGGTCAAAAAAAAAGGAAGAAAATCACTCCGAGCGGTCAATTTATAGTGACCGCTTCGGACGGAAGGGGACTCCGTGCCGTTCCCCATTGGACCACCATGCACTCCCAGATTCGCAACAAATAAAATAAATACAAAACAAATAATCCATTCACCCGCTCACATGTATAACATTTTCTAATTCAATTATTCGTAAGCAAATACATTATACAGTTGCCTTAAACGTAACACCCCTCTTGCCAAGTGGTACTACCCGTAGAGGTTTTTTAAACATTGCAATGCATCGTAATGGTTATTTTTAGAATGGCAAACTGATGCAGCTGTTAATACGTGTTGTAAACGTAGACACTACTAGACTAGTACAATAACGCTTAATTGCTGCATGAAAATAAATTTTGTGATTTACATAGATGTGCCGACCAAAAATATGTTTTTAACAAATATCATTGTTTAAAACTTTGTTTTTAAAAAGTTTCCCAAAAGGCGCCACTTTGCCGAAAATGGCCAGATGGGGAGCGACCGCTCCCCCTGCTCCCCCTTTGCGTACGCTACTGGAAGTAGAACTTAAAAGACTTTCAAGTTTGCCGTACGATACGAATATACATTCGAAACTTCTCTTGCAGAAAACTTTCATGAACACAACATAGAATGATAAGATGGACTAAAATGACATCCTACGTGAGAATATTTGATACAATACCATCGTGTACCCTTTTATCTAGCTAAATTCCTTAACATCATTTAAAATTTAGACAGACTACATTAGACAACGGTAATAGTAGATAAAAAAAATTCATAAAAACGTTTTAATAACAAGATTTTATGTAATAATGGACTAAAAAGAGAAAATAAACTCCTATTTAAATAACTATAAAGAAAAGCGTGGGTCACTTTAGTATCTATTGGATATATTTTCCTATTGTTAAGAAGACACCCACGCTTTTCTTTATAGTTATTTAAATAGTAGTCTATAATTTATTTTCTACTTTTTAGTCCATCTATCTTAATACTACTAAAAGTCAAGTTTGTTTGCATGTTTGAATATTTTTTTTTTGTTTGTTTGTTTGTTTGTCCGATCGAGTATTGTGATATGTTCGACTCTATCTGGAGAGCTGTAAAATAGTATGTAGGTAGAGAATAATTTTTTAATGCAGACAGACTGTTAATCACACATTTATTTAAAGACGTTAATTAATTTATTGATTTATTCATACGTAGAGTAACCCATTTTTTTTTTAAAATGTTAAAACATTGACTAAACTTTGTGGGAATAGTGACGTCACAAGTTTTTGTTTACTCTTTAGTACAATAAAATTGCGGCGTCTATCGAAGAAAATTGTGTTTCCATTCAAAAGTTTAACGCGTTCTAAATCTAATTTTCTGTCGGTCATAACTTTAACAATACGTCCGTTTGCTGTATTTATTACATTCCAACACTTATATCAATTTTCAACTGTCTTTTTTCATTTAGTTTTACAATAAATTTCTCTAGATCTAAAGATCAGCTGTCGAAGGAAAGTTATGAATCTAGCCTAGATCTAGCCTAGATCTAGGTCACTAGACTCAATGTAAATTCTAGATTTAGACTTAATGTAAATTCTACATCTAGAATCTATTTCAGGCCTTAATACATCTAGAATCTATTTCAGGCCTTAATTATTTTATATAAATCTTTGTTTGGCTAATTTAAGATAAAATTTAATTTGAAAGTTACTAGATTCTACTACTAGACTTAGATCTAGATCTATGCGCGGAGACTTAAAAGTATAGTATAAAAATTCATTTGTGACGTCACGAGTAAATAGCTAAGTTGGTAGCGTAGTCCGCTCTCATGCGGGTGGCACAGGTTCTAGACCAATATGTCAATGATATTTTTTTTCAATTTTTTTTTTTAGATGTGAATGATAAAGTTGCCTATCTGAACTTGGCAGGATACAGGGCAGGTGAAGTAGAGTTCATCTGTTTCTTTGTCCTAAGCATATGAAAGGATAGTGTGGTCAGAGACATGCTCGACTGGAATCGTTTTTTAAACGATAAAAACATGTTGTCTGAGACTTGGCGGGACACTGGGCAGGTGAAGTAGAGTTGAGTAGGTCATATGTGACGTCAGTATATGAAGGGATAGTCCGAAATCGGTGTTTTCGGTGTTTTTAAAAGATAAGAAACATATTTTTGAATGTGGGGTCTGTTTTTTGTGACGATAAGTGACACTGCAGTAGCGTAGCGAGGAGGGGGGGGCGGGAGGGGAGGTGGGGGGGGGGGAGTGGAGGCGGGGGGAGGGGAAGGGGGGGGCGGGGGGGGACATATGTTGGGGCGCCAAAATGGTTTGGAAAAATAAATTGAAAGGTTGAGGGGGGTTCAAATCGAAAGTTTGAGTAGGGGGGGGGGGGAGGTGCACATCAAAAGTTTTAGGGGGGGGTTGAAAATCGAATCTTGGGGGGGGGGTTAAAATCGAAAAGTTTGTCCCCGGGCGCCGGGAAGGGTCGCTATGCCTCTGAGTGACAGACGTGATGTTTTTTGATGGATGACCCCCGAAACCCACAGTTATCCAACGGATGACGGGTATTCTAGTTATTACATAAAAGCTTGTTATTAAAACGTTTTTTATGAATTTTTTTCAGTACTTTACATGTTTTTTTTTACAATAGAGTTAATGACTAAAAACCATTGCGCGTCTACTGAACGTGATGACGCAGCCATTGAACGTGATGGCGCAGCCATTGAACGAGATGACGCGTGTGGTGTGGTTGGATAGACATGCCTACTACTTCGGTCCAAATTTTAATTAATTCATAAAATAATTATTAGGCATCCAATTAAGTCAAATTTAGTTTCAGATTGCATTGACTTTATGTCTTGACCCACGTGCCAACTGTGAATCCTATCGGTCAAGTAAAACCAGTAGCGTAGCGAGGGGGGGGGGGCGTTTCGGTCTAGACAGACTGACGACAGACTGTCGACAGAGGGAGTGAGTTAAATAAAAGCTTGTTAAAATGTGAATTTTTTTAATAATTTATATGAGTCTCTGTGCTGTATGTTTGTTCTAAGGCATCAAGAAAGTTTGAGTCTTCCCTCTCTGCTGATATTTCTTTCAAAACTACAAATAAATGCTTATTATTAAAATAAATATATTAACTTTTTTTTTACCTCCAAACATTTCAACTTCACAGAGTGTAACAAATATTCCCCCTCCGTAATTATAAGTAGCTGTGATTCGTACAGACGTAGCCAGCACGGTTGTCATAGTAACTGTGTATAATGACTCCATCCCTGTTGATGTATCCTGATAGTTGAGAGTTCTTTCCCCTTGGTTGTATATTTCCAGTCTAAACTGATTTAATCGACCTAAATATTTATGATAATTATATATATATATATATATATATATATATATATATATATATATATATATATATATATATATATATATAAAATATATAATACATCTAAGTATACATCAATTTCAGTATGTACGTGTTAACAACTACAAATGGTATAGTATAAGTGTACCTGCATTCACGGACCATCTGTTATATAATACAATTCTATTCACGAAATTTTCCCATGCAAACATAACCCTCCAATACGGAGACCCATTCATCTCAGCCTCTGATGTATGAGAACAAGAGTAGTGATCCAATACACCATCGATGTTACCGTCTACAGCGTTCTGTGCACCAGACAGAGATTCGTTCATGTAAGTCGATGATTGGGATGTAGGCTGACGAAATGCTAGATTGCGACCTGTTTGATGATTGGTTAAATAAACAATAGCAACGATTCACTATATAATGTTGTACTGTATCAGAGTAATTTTCTTTCTTTGCTGGTAGATAGTTTTCTTTACTAAAGATTATTAAAAACGTCCAAAGAAAAAAAAATGAAACCAATCTCCACAGCAGGTTTTACGATGTTTGATTAAAACATGCTGATTGAATAGCTTATTTTTAAATTATACGTGAGCAACCTTTACATAATAATATATATACATTTATAATTGTTTTTAAATCGTTTCGAAATTCAAGATAAGTACACACGTTTTTAAATAAGGAGTAAAAAGAGTTTCTTTTATTTCATTTAAAATTTATAAAGTTTTGATTGTTATATAGGAAATATAAATCACATTCATTAAAAATATTTTAGACACACATTTCAAAAATTTAAAACATAGCTACTAAATATACGAATATATGTATATTTATATGTGTAGGCTATAAAAACAATTTCATTTAAGCTTTTACAGACAGTCTACAGTTACAGACCTCCACTAACATAGAGCGAACAAATTGTGATGGGTTTGTTCCATGTCAACTTGAGAGCATTTGTTGTTTGGTTCATATCACACCAGACGTCCGTTGTCCTGTTGTTGACTACGTTGGTGTTTAGTTTGTTGCAGGGGATTGTCCAGTCGGGTGTGTTGTTCTTGAACGTTAGGCTAAAGCTGTCTTTGTTACTGCCTATCATGTGTGGAGGTGAGAACAAACAGTAAGAGCTGTTGTAATTATTACTTAAATTCCATGTGTCGTCAAATGTAACAGACGAGCTAAAGAAATTCTTTAATTAAAAAAAAACATAGAAAATAATGTTTCGCCTTACCTCCATCTTGTACTGTAAATCTCAACCATGTAAACAAATAAGACTTGTCAAATGCTACTGAGAGTGAGTTTGTCACATTGACACAAGTGTCGTCTCTACCATCATACAACTTATATCTGTCTGCCACATCGACACTCACTGTGTAATTATCATTCAGAAGATTTTCTGAAACATAGATGAGAAGAGCTTAAACTACAGCGTAAATATTTTTAAATGTAAATTATAATTTACACTAAAACTGGTTTGCATGCATTTGACAAAAATTTCAAACACAACTCACGGTACTGACAGGCAGGACCAAACCACCATGTAGAACACTGACCATCTGGACATGGTGTGTGACCTCCACATTGTCCAGTGACACAGTTACACTTGTAGGTGTTTGAGTTGGTCGACCATGTTGGTAGTGAATCTAGTGTTAAAAATACAGAATTTAGCATGACAAGTTACCATCAGGGATGTACACTAAAATATTATTTATTCACACAGACATATATATATATATATATATATATATATATATATATATATATATATATATATATATATATATATATATATATATATACTTAAGACTTACCGGATATAATTCTAAAATCAAAGCTGGCCAGAACAACGATACATATTTTTACTTTGATATTCATTTTTAGAAATAATTATATTTATGAGAGTAACTGAAGTTAAAATTATTCTCATATAGATCCATGATATACTCCGTGCCACCTATAAAACAGGCTAATAGCTTCCTAGTCTCGCCCTCCGAACTGTCAAGTTGTTGATTTAATCACCTAGAGAGGTATATATAACTCGTATGTTTCACTATTGAGAGATGTTCCTGTGTACCGGAGCGTGACGCCCAAACAAATATTCGCGTATGACAGAGGCCGAGCAGTGTAAGTGTATCCCGGCGTATCTACATTACACCCTTGGCTTGCTTAACTTTGTATGGAAGCTTGACGGCCCCACAAACCTATGTGTAGAGAATAGCCAATAACATTCGGATCAGTATTCAACCTCGTGTGGTTACACAGCTAGCAATGTCAACACTATCTCGAAGTATAGTATCAGCTGGTTGTACAGATATTTGACTTAATCTACTTAATCTAGACACATATCATGCTAATTTTAAGAATTGTTATTCACACCATTTTTAACGATTTGGGTGATGAATTATTCCAATAACTCGCTGAGGAGAGAATTAAAGAGGAAAAAACGTAATCAGACATTTTTAAATGTACGCAAGTTTCGCCTTTAAGGTTGACCAAGTATTGAAAGATTCCTACCACCCCATTTCACGTGCACACAGATTGTAACTCATGTGTCGTCATATCAGGTAGAGGTCTGACTGTTTATATACATCATACTTTAAATTGTATGATTATCACAATTTTACACCCTCATCACTACCTCCCCAATATATTTGTTAACAGTGAAAGATAGTGTCAACTAGCCCATGCTGATTCACCAGATCCACCCCATACTGCCGTCTTTTATTTTTTGTTATATTTTTGTAAACAAACTTTATCTTCACCATAACTTCCTTATGTGGGGTAAATCGTCACGGATTGAATACTATGGCCTTATTTTGTGAAAACAAACGTGCAGTCAATAGAAGAACAAACTAGTCAAACAATGTTTTACAACGATATCTGTTAGTACATTAAGTTTCGTGTAACAACCTAGTGATTTCCCTTTGGTATCATTTTTAATAAACGGTGACGCTAATTGACGATCGATGGTGTTGGGGTTAGACTAAATTGTCAACGTGTCAATGGTCGAGCAATTGTTAGTTTTGGTGTTACAACAAAAAGTGTATTAACGTTTTAAAACGTTTCTTGTTAACAACTGTTTCCTGCCATTACCAAATTCTGATAGATTGGTTACATTACAGCAGTAAAAATATTAGCAAATAGCTAATTGAACACCTTTGTAATATAGCAGTATTCAACTTTAATGATTATAGATATACATTACTTTACTAAACATAAATGTACCAGTGTTTAACAGTACACAATTTAGCCAGTGGCGTAGCTAGGATTTTCGGGCCCCTATGCAAAAATTATCAATGGGCCCCTTCGTCACCCGTTAGGCTACAACTGACTGAGTTAAACATTGCTACCAGTGTTTCTTCCAGACTTGTTTTCTCGGGGGGGGGGGAGCACTTGAAATTTGGGGGGGGGGTGCGGGCGGACTAAAATTTCCGGGGAGACGGGACACTATTAAAAGTATATACTTTCTATATCAATTCCATTTTGTTCGGGGGGTAGGGGGGTAGACTCTCTTCGGGAGGGGGGTTCTGCCTCCCTCCCCCCTGAAGAGATGCCTGGAAGAAACACTGATTGCTACTCACGAGGGAGGAGTTTTAAATAATATAATTTTATTTATGTCCTGGTTGTGTATTTAAACTGTACTGTATTATTATGTACTGCACCCTAATGAAAGATATATGGGGTCACTAGGCAAAGGTGCGGTCCACATCCATTAACACCATTTAGTCGTGACACCATGACGAAAAATTGTAAAATGTACTGTCAAAACTATGTTTTATCCAGTTAAAATACTAAAAGATTAGGAAGAGATGGGTGACAGCCCACCGAAAATGCAAAATTGTTGGGGGGGAGGTGGTGGGGGGAGAGTTACGCCTTCAGTAAAGGCTCAGGGGGACAGCCGACCTTGCAACAACTAACCAAACACAATTTTGGAAAATTGTATCATAATTTATTTAGATTTGATTTCTTTTTCATGCTTTTAAGTTTGCAAAATTATTAATGGGCTTCTTGAGATCTAATTGTCCAAGTTACTGAACCAAAAGGCATATTTACAATTTGTTTCATAACATCATCATAATATCCAAATAATCAAATTTAAAAATCCCATCATAGACATCAAACTCTCCATTATCACCATCGAATGTTAAAGAAGTTTTATACAGAACTGGCATACCCGTCCCCATTGCTGCGACCTAGTCGTATATATAAAGGAGACAGGAGGGAGATGCAGGTTTCTGCGTGGTGGTGGTGGGGTAGGGAGTTTCCCACTCAGTTGAGGTTTTTAGCGATACGTGAAAATGTACGGGTGCCGGATGTCGTATCTCACATTTAAATTGTATAGGCTGATTCTCTGAATTGCTTCCAAAACGGCGGCAGCGCTTGTGGTCTTATTAATACGGGGTGGTTCCTTATCGACGACCCCCCCCCCCCTCTCCACATTCAGCTACTGTGGTCTTATTAATACGGGGTGGTTCCTTATCGACGCCACCCCCTCCCCCACATTCAGCGCCTGTGGTGTTATTAATACGGGTGGGACCTATTCGACGCCAACACACCCTGCCACACACACACACACACACACCCTGAATGCCACTGCCTGTACACTATGATAGGACTTGGGGCCTTTTTTTTTTATTTTTAATCATTTCTACAGTTGAAAATAAACAACTTGATTTCCATTTTCTTTTTGAAATTGTTTGTATAATAAAAATATTAAAATTTATTAACTTTTTTTAAGAAGAAAAAGAGGGCCCCTAAGTGCCTTGGGCCCCTATGCCTTGCTTACTCTAGCTTTACGATAGCTTCGCCACTTAATTTAGCTGAGTTTAATCATACTGTACGATATTGCAATTGAACAGGTTTTGGTTAGGCTTCATTGACCTACACGCTTGTGTAGCAGCGACGGCCTACACGCAATACAAACCAGTTTTATGCTTCCTCCCAGGAAGGGGAATAACTTCAAATGCAAGTATTTGGAAGGTGGGAGGCGGATATTATACACTGTCTAAAATTGTCGCGCACAATATTTTAATGGACCAAATGTGGCCTGGCAAGGTTGCGTCCTGTGTTATGGAGAAATTACCGGTTTCAATTTAGGTCAGCTATTTTTAATTATAGTTTAGTTGTAAAAGTTTTTGTGATATTTACATGTGTCTGTGTTAAATATAAACATTAATTAATTCATACAGTTAATTTAAACAAATGCAATTCAATAGTCGAATTCAATAGTCGAATTCAATAGTCGAATGTATAACTGTGCTTCAGTGTTTTATGTGTGCTGTTCTTTTCATTTTGAAGCACGATACGTTCTATTTATTTTTGTCAATAAAACAAGTAGATCTATGGATCAACGCGTTATTCATTTCACAGCTAGGAAGTTTAATTAGGCAAATAAGAATATCCAGTGGAGGCAAAACATCTGCCATTTTGTCTTCTACATCAACAGGTAAATTGTTTAGTCATTTAGATCCAGCAAGAATCTTAGATATTTTAGTATACTTATTATATTATAATATTTACTATTATGCATAGATCTTAGTAGGTTTTATAAATCGGGTTTGCAGCTTTATAAAACGGATGTTTGGAACTTATAACTCTCATTACAAAACATTAATTTAATTGGTATCAAACGTTGTGAGCAGCTGTCACATATGAGAGTTACTAAGCAAATTTGTGGAAACTTCGATATAGATCGTCATTTCCAAGAAGTTATTTTTTGTAACCTTGTAATTTCATGATGATTTTTTTTTAAATGATAATAAAAAATAGCACATTCTATGGATTAATTTTATTTGCTGGATATGTATTATTATGTTAGTGATCCAGTTAATATTTCTCAAAGAGTTACAGTAAACACATACACTAGTAATGGGGTTGCTTGTAAACGCGAATAAGCCTCCCAGAACAAAGTTGTTGTTTTTTTCTTTATTACAGGCATGTTTGTTGTATTTCATGGAACGTTGGTATCGTTGGTGTTAATTTTCCAGTTATTTACGGAAACTGGTATGTATTTATAAAAATATGTTTAAAGAAATTACTTCTCTAACTATCTATATCTACCACATATAAAAGGGGTAGCAACAGAGGCGTATCAAGGTTTTCGTTGTACGGGGAACGAAAAGAGCAAAAAAAGGCGCCGAATTTTTAACACGTTCTATATACGTGTATTATATATATATATATATATATATATATATATATATATATATATAATTATTACTAGCTGTATGTCATTACTTCGCTATGATGTAAAATAAATTGAAAGTAGCACTCTAAAGAAATAAGAAAAAACACACAATGTAGGCCGACAAAACAAAAATTGCATCAATCTAAACAAAATATATATATATATATGTACATACAAACTCTACAACCAAAAACAATGAACGTAACACAATCTGTTTTGTAATTCTTGTAAAAAAAAATTTCTTACATAATAATTCATGGGAAATTATTTAAGACAAGTGAAATAGGGGAAATAATCACTCTCTTAATATAAATATGTATATATCTACACATTCAATTATAACTGTCAAAACAAATAAATAATTACTTTAGATTACAATGAAATTGCTAAACACTATTCGTGTTTACAAAATGTTTTTGTCCATAATCAAATTTTAATATATTGTTATCATAAATGCTAAAGTATTACAGCATAATGAAAGTTTTAAAAATCAGGGTTGGTATAAAAATACGCTTTTAGATATCATAAAAACATTCGGAATAACAGCCTACATTTAATTAATATCGTTTTTTTAGTTCATATCATATATTTCTAATTAAGTACTGCTTCTTTGTGTTCTTTAAAGAACATTTTTTAACATAGTGATAGGTATGGATTAGATTACTGTATTGCTCACACACCTTTTTACTGGTTATTGCAAAAACAATATTCACACAGAGTTTTACGTTTAAAAAGCTAATTTTCTGGCGGCATGGTACTTTGGTACATCATTACGCGTTTTTCTTCATGTACTTAACAGATCAGTTCGGGGTGGGTTGGGGGGGGGTGGTGGTTTCAACTTTATTCACCCCTGTCCGTTCACTTTAGGTCAATTATCCAACCCAGTGTATACCTAGGTGTGACATTAATGTCGCTCTACACAATTGTAGTGGTGAGATGTGGGGGGGGGGGGGGAGATAACCAACTCAGAGTGAACATAGCGTCAGTTTTTAGATGACTGTTCTAAACATACGTATATATTTCACAAATATATATTACGCAAATATATATTACAGAAATAGATTTAAATAAGTAGCAGTGGTATTATGACAATATTTTTTTACAGAGTGGTCCATGGGGGAGGGGAGTTGTAACTGTTTCATATAATTTGTAATCGTAATCACTATCGCCCAAACTGTAAGAATATTACTTCTTCATCGTGATGACGTTGTTGATCTTGTCAAAATTTCCATACCACTACGCAGTTTGCTCATAAGTAAATTTAAATAGAGGTGCCACATCAGTTGTATTTGTTTCTGTATTGTAATTTTTTTAAAATTAATCACACGATTCAAACGGTATATAAAAAGTAATTATGTGTGCAGTTTTATGTATAACATTTTCTAATTCAATTATTCGTAAGCAAATATTTGAAGATTTGTAAATGTTTCGAAAATTGATATTGTAAGCGGATTTTTATTACTAAATAAATAAATAAAATCAAGAACAGTTATATTGAAAATGGATTTCATTTTTTTTAAACGTAAACAAATAACTAATTTAACATTGAATATTAAAAAGATGAAAGTTTACTACATTAAATTACTGATAAAATGAAGTGAAAAATAAAATGATTAGGTCATCAGTTTCAGTCTCGGTATCATCATTATTTAACGTGTGTGTATAATTGTACAAATAGCAATTTAAAAAGCAGTCAAAAAATGATTAGTCTTATGCCAAAACGATTTATCATCTTTGGTGTTTTGTTTTTAAACAATTCTAAATAGGCTTTTGCAGTAAATTAATTTCTTGAGATAATTTGTCTGAGACCGTTTGTCCCCTAACCCCTTTGGCAATCTTCTGACTCGCTGTAGATCTGGTGTTGCAATAAGTACATATAAAAAAATTACACAAAAGCAGCCAATAACTGAATTACTAGAATCTCTCTAATGAAAAGATTTATCCTTTACAGCTGGAGCCGACCTGTGGTTTGGCAGCAACCAACAGTTTTTGTGTCGATGTACCGACAACAATTGTTTACCTGATGGAACTTGTGCTGATGGTGCCAGTTGTTTAAGTGAATGGTTTGGTCCGTCTTGTCAATATCGTAAGTAAAATAAGTTTATTAATACAGTCAAGTGTTTGGTGGATGGTTTGGACTGCCGTATCATTATCTTGGGTAATATCTTATTTAAACACAGTAGCCCATTTCTTATATTACCGTTTCCTGAATTTTCTGTTAAATATAATTTTCTCGAGAGTTCAAGCTCAAACTAATGAATCAAGCATATCTTTTAATAAAGCCGGAGTGATCTCCCCTAAACTTTCTCGAATATTCTTATATAACATTACGTAGGATGGCACCTCAGGATATAAATATGATTTTTAATCCATTTTTAATTACTTAAACTTTTTAAAATAGAATAAAATCTCGTACAAAAAAAAAGAATTGCTCACCAAGTGAACGCCAAACAATATGTGTATAATAGTGCGGAATATTATTAGTACTTTATAAATTCACATTCGTTTTTTTTTTTAGAAATCGGAAATAGCGTAAATTAATACTTCCGTTCGACGGAAATTACTCAAACTTCGACAAAGGCAGAGAATTAGATCTTTTACTTACTTGCGAAATTTCATTATCTATCTGAAATAGTACTCAAGTTATAGGCTTTTGAGAAATTGAAAATAGAATAAGTTCCACTTACGGTTACTGGAAATCGCTGAAAAGTTGATAAAGAACTACACATTTGATATAATACTTGTAGCTATATCGGTACTCAAATTATCGTGTTCACAGATATACACACACACATACACACACAGACATACGGACGAGATTGCAAAATTATGTTTTTCCGACTCAGGAGGTCTACAACTTGCAAAAATCTCGATTTTTTTCACGATAACAATATTTTCTCTATTCTTCGTATTCGAGATGAAGTAAAAATGCATTACATTGGTTCTCTCACCCTAAATACCATTTTATGTATTGTTCACATGAATATTTGCTTTATCTTTGTACTGATAAAATGTAGTTAATCATGCCTACAAAATGTGTCATATGTTTAATGTAAATTTTTGCTTACATTTTTTAGAGAATCTGGCCACAGTTTACACAGTACAAACGTCACCATATAATGCTTTATTAAGTGTGACAGATGACAGCCAATGTAACGTAAAATCTGGCAACACAAACTTTGAAGTGACTTGGAACGTTTCGAATCCCTTCACATTTCTTTGGTTACGTTTTTACCCAAAAGGTTATCTTTTTATTTAAATTTCGTAATTAATACTTTTTCTTTGCATTGTATAAATAATTTAAGTATATTTTAAAATTCTAAAATAATAAATAAATAATATTAAATTGTAGAAAGACATATAATGTGCATTAATGTTGATTCTTCTGCTCCATAAATTTGTTCTTAATTTGTTTTCCGAGATATTAAGAAAAATCAAGGCAAAATCCACTTTTTAACTTTTTCAGTCTCACAATAATTATGCTATTTTTATTTTTTAAATACAGAAAACAAAACCACTCAAGAGGTTTCAATCCGAATTAATAATGGAAACGTGGAACCACTGCAAGTTTTTACAATAAGCAACACGACAATTGAAATACGCAGTCCGAATATTTCTATGATAAGAAGTATAAATATAACAAATCTTCAAGATTTATGTTCTCTGTATGTTAACGGGGGTGAGTTTATTTATAATGGAAACAAAATATTATTTTATTATACATTATTCTTTTTACGATAGACAATAATTAATATTTGTACATTATCCTATAGGAAACTGCATCATCAATAAACACAATCATGTGTGTGTTAATACACATTTTAGCAAAAAATTATTAATCGAATCAATTTAATATAAAACTTTTCAAATCTATTTCATTATAATTACTTATCTGCAGGTCGAAATATAGCACTAAAACAAACTGCTACACAAGATAGCTATTTTAGTGGATCACAACCAAGCAACGCTGTAGATGGTAACAGAAATCCTGACTGGTATGGTGGCTCATGCATCCACAGTGCTGGAACATATGAGTACCACTACTGGACGGTACGGTTTGACAAAGAATATTTAGTCAACAGATATGTCTTGTACAGCAGATATAACGTACTATCTAACAGCCGTAAGTAGTGACATTGTATTTTTTATTATAATTATGTTGTAATTTTATTACTAAAGTATTAACAACTTGCATTTGTTAGCATTTGTGGGAGGGGTAGTGGGTGATCAGGACTATTCCCAGCCACCAATACCTTCCCCAAACTCAGTCTCCTACCCTCCAAATGTGGGTGGACTCATAATGTACATTTCGAATTGAGCTCGAGAATTTCGGGATGTTTAGTAAATTGCTTACCAATTTTTAAATATTAAAATTCAAGATCTCTATATACATGTATTTTTGTCAGAGGCGTAGCGACCCTTCCCGGCGCCCGGGAACAAACTTTTCGATTTGCACCCTCCCCCCCCCCCCCCCCTCAAGATTTCGATTGCACCCCCCATCGTTTACCACAAAGCTACTAATTTTAAAACTATAGATATCGTAATGTATAAATCCGCTAAGCTGTACCTTCCTGTCCCCGCCACATTCTCTTGTCTGGACGTCCACTGAATGTATTCGCTATCTCAAAACTTCTAATATTATACTTATTCCATTTAAATAATGATCTATATCACCTAATAATGCTACGTTTTCCCGAACATATCTGATATTGAATATTTTTTAAAAATCAATAATAATCTTCAATGCGTGACGAAGACAAAGCTTCTATACCGATGATGGAAGAAATGTCACTCTACCTGGTGGCTTATATTACAGTTTTAGATATAGATCTAGAAACAAACATTATATATATATATATATATATATATATATATATATATATATATATATATATATATATATATATATATATATATATATATATATAAAAGCAAAGTGGGGGTGGTTAGATTGGCTGTTATAAACAATACTTGCAGGTAAGTAAAATGAAGTTCATTAGTGCGTATGTTGCACATGTTTCGAGACACATGGGTATTTACGTTTAAATAGAAGTTTGTTAAGTTATATTAAAACCGACCTCATAATTAAAGGGTGATAGCTTTAATGATAAACTTCAAAGGAATAGAAATACAAAGAGTTTAGACCTAAGGTCAAATATATTGGAATAATTTACTCACCAAACTCAATCCATCTAGAATTTTAATAAAAACTACTGCAATCATTTATTTGTATTCAAAAATAAATACAGTTTTAAAATTGTAACATTAGTATTTAAAACGACGCGATTCCCTCAACATTTTTGTTGTATTGAATTTGGTCGCGGGGGGTGGGGGGTGGTTTGGGTGCAAAGCCTAAATCATATGTAGAGGTGTTGTGGCCTAAGGAGATGTTATGTAACATTACACTTTCTTGTATATACAAAGTATAGAGAAAGTCTTGTAATCGTGCAAAAAAAAAAAACCCTGATTTTTGCAAATCTCGACGTTATACACCTCCCTAAGTTGGAAAAAAAATAGTTTTGCAATCTTGTACGTATGTATGTGTGTGTAAGTGTATGTGTGTGTGTGTGAGTCTGTAAACACGATAGCTTGAATGCCGTTACAGCTAGGTTAATGAAATTTCATATATAAGTATTATATCGAATTTGTAGATCCCTTTCAACTTTCCAGGGATTTCCGAAAACCAGAAGTAGAACTTATTTTACTTTCAATTTTTCAAAAGCCTATACCTTGAGTACTGTTTCAGATAGATAAATGAAATTTTCCGTATAGGTAAAAGATCTAATTCTCTACCTTCTGTAAAATTTTGAGTAATTTCCGTTGACCGGAGTTAGCAATTTAGGCTATTTCTAATTTCTCAAAAAAGCATGTGAATTTATAAAGTACTAGTAATATTCCGCATTATTATACACAATTTATTTAGCGTTCACTTGGTGTGCAATTCTTTTTTCTACGAGATTCTATTCTATTTAAAAAAATTAAGTAATTAAAAAGGGATTTAAATTATTGTCTATATCCCGACTTGCCATCCACCGTAGTGTTATATAATTAAAGAATATTCAAGAAAGTTAAGTGTAGATCACTCCCGGTTTATTTAGCGTTGCAAGATGTAGTGATCTTTAATAATTTTAAAAAAAATATATGCATATCTGCGTTAACATTTCTTTTTTTACATTAGGACATCGCAATATATATTATATGTATATATATATATATACACACACACACACACATATATATATATATATATATATATATATAATTTTCTGTGTGTGCGTGCGTGCATGCGTATGTGCTAATGTGTACGTGTGTGTGTATGTGTTTCTGGTTGTGTTTGTGTGCGTGTATGTTTGTGTGTCCGTGTGTTTGTGTGTTTGTGTTTGTGTCGAGCACTCGACTTTTAGTTTCTTTTATACAGAGTATAGAGGAATCATTGTCTTTTTGTGCACAATTATCACATGAAATTTTGACAATTTTCATCGAATTAACTCTCAGTACTTCATCATATACGAAGTATACAGAACTTATTTTAATCGGGCAAAAATAATAAATGCAGATATATCAAAATGTAATCTTTCTAAGCGTTATAGAGTCTGAAAAACTGCACTTTGTCTGTGTGTGTGTTTGTGTGTGTGTGTGTGTGTGTGTGCATATCTGTGTGTCTGTGTATCTGTGTGTGTCTGTTAATACGATAACTTGAGTACCGTTACAGTTATGTTGATGAAATTTTATACCCAAGTATTATATCAAATTTGAAGTTCTGTATCAACTTTTCAGCGATTTTCGATTAACGGTGGAACTTATGCTCTTTTTTCATTTTTCAAAAGCCTATAACTTGACTACTATTTCAAATAGATAAATGAAATTTCACATATAAGTTAATTTGTCAAAATTTGTCAAAATTTGTCAAAATGTCAAATCTTGAGTAATTTCCGTCGATCGGAAGTAGCAATTTACGCTATTTCCGATATTTTAAAAAAACGCATGTGAATTTATAAAGTACTAATAATATTCCGCACTATTATACACAAATTGTTTGGCGTTCACTTGGTGAGCAATTCATTTTTCTACGAGATTCTTTTTTATTTTGAAAAATGTAAGTAATTAAAAATTGATTAAAAGTCATGTATATATCCCGAGTTGCCATTAGTGTTATGTACTAATATTCGAGAAATTTTAGGGGAGATCACTCCCGGTTTATTTTTCTATATCAATTAAAATTCTTGAAGCAGAAGAAGGTAGGGGGGGGAGGGGGTAATAGAGGTTGGGCCTCTCTTATATGCCCCCACTCCATCCCTCCCCCCTCACCTGCTCCAAAATACAGTGGCGAAACTGCAGTTTTAATGTGAATTAAGTATATTCTGAACAACTTCATGTTTAAATAATTTCAAAAACTCACAAAACCGCCATTAATATCCAAAAAACAGCTCAAATTAAGTTTTAAAGCCTTCGTGTTAAATGCGTAAGTGTGACGACTCGCATTCTATAACACACGGCTCCGTCGTCACAATTCGTCACTTTAAGTCCTAACCAAAGTGAGTAAGACGAGTGTCAAATGTACTAATAGTCATACCCCAGTGATATATTTATCGCCAATATTTGTTGTTCTTTTTTTATTTAATAAACAAAATAATTCCTATTTTTTTTATGCAAGTAATAATATCTATTTAAATTTTTGTATTATGAGTTTGAGCAGAATTTTCACACACATATTGTTTTCAATTAAAGCATATAATGCTTGCTGCTTGGATCGTCTTCAACACTTCAACTTGGTAAGCAGGGATGTCAGTGGTCAAACAGTTCTAACTTACACAGAAAATGGAACTTTACAACAGTTAACTTATACTGTAGCATCTGATAAACTCAAGGTGTCCAGTGTTACAGTATCGCAGGCTAATAACATTCTCAACTTTTGTGAATTTGAAGCTTATGGAGGTAAGAATAGTTTTGTTACATCATCTATAGAAGTAGCGTCCAAACCTTTCTCTTCATTGGTGCATTTATTCAGTCTTTTTTCCCCCGAAAATCTGTGATTCTTCTGTAATGTCCTAAGATTGCCAAACTAAAACCTAATGACTACGTAGAGAGATGTGTTAGATTTTCCATTTTAATCTTTGTATCTTTCACCAATAACACATTAGCATTAAACAATTTATATTGGTATAATAGATATATAACGAAGCTTCGAAACACTTTATTGAATTACGTTTCTTGCTTACGAAGCGTTTTTAAATGCTCAAACATACAATGTCATATAAAGAAATCTTAGCAACGCCTACCACATTTAACTGCATATATCATTTAATAGACCATATCCTAATATATAACTTTTTAAATAGCGCTTTAACGTAATTTCAACATTTTTAAAAATTATTTTGTTCCATTAGTCGGTTTTTAGGTCTTATATTGTCTTAAGGAAGACAGTAGCATCAAAATAATAATGGACCGTTAGCGGAAACAAACCTATTAGACTTTAAAACTTAGTATGGTAACACCATAAGACAGTATATGAATGTGAGCCTGTGTGTGATAAAAAACATTTTGAAAGAATTCGATCCAAAAAAAATGTTATAGGGCCTACTAGTTTTATATGGACATTTTTTTTTAATTATGAAAAACTCAAGCTAGCTAATACTAAAATGTATAGCCAGAACTAAAACGATTGCATTGTGAGAAAAATTTAAAGTGGTAAAAAAATTACATTTCGTAAAAAGTTCTTAAAATTTCAAATGTTATCACAATGGTACTTTTTCTTTGCAAAATTTCAAACAAATTATATATAAATTATTGTTCTATATTTTTAAAACATAATTTTTTTGTAAGAGTATCAAATTTTAAAACGGATACAAAAACAAATTTTTAAAAAAGTTTGTGTTATAAACAAGTTTTCGTGTAAACGCTGCTTCATAGCGAATGCCGATACAACTATAAAAATGTGTAATGCATATGTCTATTCGTTATTTTTAAGGGAAGATTTTGTTACTTTACCTTATGACTGCCCATAAGGGAAGAACTAGTGTGTGAAGATACATATTTTAAATAACACTGCCAAATAGGATAGGGGCAAGCAGACACCTCTGCCTCATAACAACCATGGTTTTGACCAATGTTCCAATTCTTTTGTTGAGGCATACGGTCAGTGCCGGTTTATATATAGGCAGAGTTTCTTTCTTAAATAACCTACCACACCCTCGATGCACGTCGACTTTTCCACCCCACCCACCCTCAGGAATGAAATATAATTTATATAGAAATTATAAACTTTTACCAGTGTCCCCCCCCCCCCCCACGGAGAAAAAAGTCTGAAAGAAACACTGTACATTGGTCATTGTCCAGACAGACAGAACAGGGGTATCAAGCATTTCTCTCACACATTTTACCAATCGCTAGACTCGTAGGTTTTCACCAGGCTGTTTTTGCCAGTTTGGTCAGGGGACGTAATAATATGGTCTTAATACATTTCCGAACTTGTGACTTTCGAGTTAGCAAGGGTGCGTGCTGCCGCCAGACTACGCTATCCCCTTTCTTATAAATCCTGTTGGGATCTCAAACCATCACTCCATATTTGTACGCTTTTTTTTAAATTCATGGTCGAAACTTTCAAGTGCAATCTTACACACTTTTACCGGTCTGATTTGTTTCAAACATGACACTTACCTCAAAATCCGAATATTAGAGGAACTTCAAGAGGTTATGACGCAGAATTACTTTTAAATAGTTTGTAAACCTGTTTAGATGGACATAAAATTTAAAAAAAAACGCCATTCATGTGAGGACATTAGATGAAACGACATTGTGTTGCCCAAACACCGTAGTCCCACCTCGGCAATTTATTACAATATAGAGCTCAACACTTTATTTAAAGTTCGATAAATAGTGGCATAATATTATCTTGAGAGATAATTTTTCTTTTATAACGAGAATCTAAAATAAATGTTGATGTAATATAATGCACATTTGTGAATAGTTATTTTAGTCTAAATACTATTTTATTACGATTTTATTCACTCTATAAATATGATTTAATTTTATTATACTTAAACAACAGATTGGATCTGCCCACCCGGCAAATTTGGCCTAGAATGTAACAAAGACTGTCGATGTAGAAATGACGTGCCCTGCTTCACAGACACAGGAACTTGTTCTTCAGGATGTGCTGCAGGTTATACAGGGATGGGATGTCTCACACGTACGTTGGCTTTATCTGTGTGTCTGCTTTTGTTAGTTATACTTCATTCAAGTGTCATAGAGAACACAGTTTCTTCCAGGCATCACTTTGAGGGGGCTCCGCCCCCCCCCACCCCGAATGAGATGGAATGTATATAGTAAAATATACTTTTACCAGTGTCCGCCCCCCCCCTCCCCCGAAACTATCAAGTGCCCTCCCCCCCCCCCCCTCCCAGAGAAAAAAGTCTGGAAGAAACACTGATCGAGAAATAATAGCTTAATGTAAATCTGGGCAGTAGAAAACGTAATACGCAACTGTTCATCTGCACGGGCACCTTGTTTTATCACAACTTATAATAAGTAAGATGGTCACGTGGTACTTTAAATGTCCATTGTTGTTTTAGGTATTAGTGCAGGAAATAGTTGATATTCTCACGGTATGCAAACCCAGCTCTAACAAATATCTGCAAGGAAAAAAGGCATGATAAGCTATTAAATGTGTAATATATGAAAGTGGATTTAGCTTAATGAGTGGCAGATTAAGGGAGGGCCTAAGTGAGTAGCAGTATAGGACGCCCGAGTTTTAGAGAACTCCACATTTTCTCTTATCTGAAATAGTAAGAATCATTCTTTTGTTTTTACAAAGAAAATAGATGATTGTTCAAGGCATAAGCAACTTTTTTTGTTTGTTAAATTTACAAACACTAATAAATATAAATATTTTTTATTTAAATACACTGTTGTCTTTTAGCTGGACACAAACATTATAATTTGAATTGCTGCCTTCATCGTTTCATGTCAGTAAGCTCTCCCTGGAAAAATAAAACGTTTGTTGCTCCATTAAAATGTATTTCGATTGAACTGCTTTAAAACACAAGCATTGAATACATTATATTACGCAGCCTGCTTCGTCATGTCTACACATGTTCACTTGATGGATCATACGCACATATTTTATATAAAGTTTACAGCTTATTATAATCATGCTTTGTAGTAAGAGTTTCAAATAAATATCCATTTTCCTCAAGATTTAATATTTAATAATACCTTGTCGTTCCTTACAGCATGTAGTCCAGGAACATGGGACGTAGACTGTGCTAACACCTGCAGCATTAACTGTCTAGATATGACGTCATGTGACTCTATAACAGGGGCCTGCGTTGGGGGATGTGTGGCTGGGTTTAAAACACCTACATGTATCCGAGGTAAAAATTTTAGATACATGACACTACTTAAATGTCACCTGTTAGGGCTTGAAAATGCCTACTAGAGTATGAAGCAGCAGTAAATTTAATTTATAAACAGTCTATATAATACAGTATTTCCTTTACAGGTTGTGATCCTGGAACATGGGGTATCAACTGTTCCATGTCGTGTAGTCCACATTGTGGGGGAGATAAATCTTGTGACCCAGTAAATGGTACATGTATCAATGGTTGTGATGAGGGGTATACAGGAGTACAGTGTGATCTAGGTAATAAAAGCCTTCTATTGTTCAGCTATTTAGTAGCTTTAAAATGAATTTAAAGACTTATTTGGAAATCTTATCAAGTAAATATGCAAATAAAGCCTCTTAATGTGTAATTGTAAACTATTTTATTTGTTTTAGAATGTGCTCGTGGATTATGGGGTAAAAACTGCCAGAACAACTGCAGTAGACACTGTGTACACTCTTCGCTTTGTGATATTAAGAACGGTGCATGTTACGGTGGATGTGTTGATGGTTATGTACAGCCAACATGTGAACAAGGTGAGTTGTTTACATGGACATGTGTACTTGTACGTGCGATGTCAATAAAAGACAGATGAACTTAGCTAATATACTTCTGTTGGCAAATATCTTCTAAGAAGCAGATATAGAATTATCTCCATACTTGAATCAAATGACATAGTGTCGTACTCACGGTACCAATGTCAATTTGAAATGAATTGCGCGTTATATTGCAAAATATTTTTACTGTATTTTATATAAACGCTTAGTTTTAATTTCTTTGAATCAACAATGTATATGAAGTTTATAATTTGTATTCAGCCTGTGGTTTTGGAACATGGGGAATCAACTGTTCCATGTCGTGTAGTTCACATTGTGGGGGAGATAAATCTTGTGACCCAGTAAATGGTACATGCAACAGAGGTTGTGGTGATGGTTTTGAGGGACTGACATGTAATGAAGGTAATATACGCCTCTTTTGTTATCAAAGCTATCAAACATTGTATAACAGGTGTGTATGTGAATTTATTATTATGTCTGACAACCGGACTTATTCCCAACACAGTATAAGGTGTATTGAAATGACAAGTTTTTTGTGTCGGGTATAACAAAACTTTAATAACTAAACCATGTTCATACGATAATCAACAAAGGATTGCAGGTTATGTAGAATGTTAAAAAATATTTGATACTAAATACAATTAAACAAGGGACGTAATAACTGAAACTTCTGGTACAACATAATTCATCTGCTACATGTTGTAACACAGAACACGTGCCCTAGTTAACGCTCTGTGCTGTATTAGTCGCTGACAAGTCTCCAGTATAGTTTCACCTTTCTTTGTTCTGTCGTGTTCAAGATATTAGTTTTAGAGCCCAACAGTGTGTGAAAAATTAAACATCGTAATTCGTTTGAAAATGTAAAGAAAAACTAAGGGAGTTCACTCTTGTTGGTTGGGTAATGGCAATATGAAAGTGGACAATCTATATATACTAGGCATGCTGCCCAGCTTTGCTTAGGCTTTCGAAAACATTGAGAATTTTAATGCTTAATTAATTCGCCCGAGGGTCGGTCTACGACCTCAGGAGTTATGAAGAGGCTCCTCCGTGGACATTTTTTTTTCGATTTATAGCTCATATAAGGCGCCGGTCAGTCGAGGTCAGTTTTGACCCCATCATCGTAGACTTTTCGGCCAACCGGCCCCCGTGTTCTGTCGCCCCAAGGCAAGATCCTGCCAAATTTGAAGCGCCTGCGGCGCCGGGAAGTGCCCTATCGGGCACCCGACAACTTTGCTTTATATATTATAGAGATTAGCAAATTGCATAGATAAACAAAGATTTCAATAAAGTAATTAAGGCCTGAAATACTTTAGTATAGAAATGTATTATTTGAATAGATGAATCTAGAATATCTAGATCTAGAATCCAAATAAATAAAATAAATTTTATGAGTTTAGGCCGGAAAAATTGTATTGTATACATTTCATAGTGTACGTAGATCTAAATCAAATTTGAATGAAATAGCTCATTTCTTTTTATTCTAAACATGGCAGATGACGTCATTAGTTAATGTATAAGCAATAGTGACGTCACAGTTTTATGCGTTCTTTTTCACATCTAATTATGCTTTTCCGGTTGCATAAATAATACTGTTTCTCTACATTAGAATACGCCATTATTTTTTATTTTTCTTCTTTAAATAAAATTGTGGTTATACATTTAAAACATCTAACATATTATTTTCAACAAAAGTCCGTATAAAGTTCTCCATATATCGCTGCCGATTCTGACGTGATGTCCGGCGAAAATATTTTGCGGACAGACAGAGAGAGAGAAGAGCGCACACAGCCTTTTATATATTAGGATAATTCTCTTCTTGTAGACGTTAGAAAACAAGCTGTAAGCGCGCCTTGCAGTCCCCTCTCTACCTCTCTAGGAAGTCTGGTGAGCTGTGGTTCACGCTAAATGTTTACAATCGTAGAGCCGGGTTTAATGACGGCTATTAGGTGCAGATAATTTAGTTTGAAACTATTTTAAACTTAGGGGAGGTAGCTAAGAGGAGGCTGCTTTTATGGGGGGGGGGTTATGGGTTGGGGGAAAGGAGGGGGGGGGGGGTTATCGTCCTTAAAGACTTACTGATAGTGTTTTAAAGCAAATATTTTCAGTGACAGCAGTGGTACTGTCGAATTCACAAATTATGAATTACTGAAAATTAAATAAAACAACAACTAAATAGCGGCGTATGTTATGCAGCGGGCCGGCTCGTTAAGAATAATCGAGTAATTTTTTTTCAGCATGTTCACAAGGAAGATGGGGCAAAAATTGCCAGTATTACTGCAGTAGACATTGTGTAGATGTCGAGGTTTGCAATGCTACAAGCGGCGCATGTGCTGGTGGTTGTGTTGATGGTTACCTGCTGCCAACATGTCAACAAGGTCAGTTGTGTGAGTTGTTTACATGGGCACGAGTGTTAGTACACTAAGCTTAATTGGTTGTAAGGGCTAATTTTTTTTTATATTTTTTGTTTTGTTTTTTGGGATGTAGAGATCAATCATCTTAGTACTACTGACTTACCTGTAAACAATAAAATTATAAAAATTAAATAACTCTGAAAGCTATGATAATTATAGTGGATATCTAGGCATGTCATAACAAATTAAGTAGTAGTTCTGTATATTTATTTAATTACTTAAACCGCTCTCTAAAACAGCAAAACCTCGCTCATTACCCATTGACCTGGTTGTCACATCTGCTGCAGTCTAGAAGATTCCCAGATTAGCCAGAGACTCCCAAAGCATTTCCTGCATATTTGCTTCTATAACCTTAGTACATGCAAGAACAAACTACAAGGCAGCAGTTGTTTAATTTCGGAGATTTATCGAGCCTCATTTGCCCTGGGGTTCGAACTCGGGACTTTTCCGTTTAGCAATCATGACCTTTATCAACACGATCACTAATTTTTAAATTAGTTTTTTTTTATGGCTCCATTGTCTAATAGACCATTGGGTGATTGCCATTGGAAATCCAAGCACACAATTTACTTTTCCTATTAGCCATTGTAGCAAAACAGCAGGATGACGCGAATCAGGATATAAATCTAGCTGCAATAATAGCACCCATCGTTGCTGGTGTTATAGTCATCGTTATAGTTATACTTGGTGTTATCTTATGGAGGTAAGTGCTTCATTAAAATCTATAATATAAAAATGAAAGTGTGAGTGTCTGTATGTGTGTGTATGTGTGTGTGTATCTATTATGCATGCCTACATAATTCATTCGATCACCATAAAACTTTATGGGAGTTGTTGAGAGTAAGCATGGACAGGCTTCTACAATAAACAAAATTCAAAACTAGCAGTAGGGCTCAGCTTGGCGCCTTGAGTTTTCTAGCGACTACCTTAGCACTTGGGATCCGTTGATTTGTTGAACGCATGGGGTCGGGGATACGACTAGATTCAACAAACCGGATCTAGGGCGGTCGTGTGACGCGTCCGCTAGCGACCGGGCGGCCCGGTGACTCTGAACGCCCCGGACTCCCCTTTAACGACGTTGGAGTTTAGATTCGTTTTGAAATAAAATTTGATATAATAAATCTCATTTATGTGTGAGAATCTTTTTTAAGTGTAAACGTTTTTCCATCATCAAACTTGTGTTATAGAAGAAGAAAATCCAAACACCGTCCTGCAGATGAAAATCCTTATGTCAATGATGTAACACACCCGGCTACAGCAGCTACACATGAAGAGTTTTCAGACTCCCAAGTACCACAATATCCAGTACCACGTAAGTGATGAATAGTGGCATCAGCTATGTTTGACATGAAAAATTTGATTACGATTGTTGAAACGGATGAAAAACTTGTTTTTGACATTTTTCTCGTCAAACTGGCCGTAAAATGATTTTTTTTTTAATTTAAATCTTTTAGAATTTAAGAAATTATTAAATAAAATGTGCGAATGCTGCTACCTCCTTGGCCACATTTTATTTACTTTAATAAACCCTTAGAGGCGGCGTGATCAAATGGTGAAAGATTTGGCTGCTAGTCCAAAGGTCTCGGGTTCGGATCTCGGCTCGGGCTTGTGACTGTAGGAGGTCACTGGTGGGCATAGTGCTGACCACATCATCCTTACATATACTTGGGCCAAGAAACAAATGACCTCTACTTCATCGCTAGCCCTTAAAGGGAGTCTTTTTAACCCCCCCCCCCCCCCAATTTAACAATTGGCATTAGTCATTTTTGTAACATCCACTGTCTACTCTTAATATGTGAGATATGGTTTCAATGTAAATTTGAACTCTACTAGCATCTCTGTAAATAAACTATAACATTTGTTTAATGTACTTCTTTAGCACCTAAACAAGCAGTTGACAAAACGAATCAGACAAAATCTCAACACAAATCAAACAACAACAACGAGTATCAGAACACAGTGCCGCTTGAAGCAGACACGTCTATACCCTTAGAGAATCTACACACCTTCCTCCAAACACACAGCAGCACATTCTTTCAGGAACAGTTCAAGGTAAAATAGTCAATGTTGATGTTTAACAGAGAAATGTAGTTTTAGGACTTATATATATATAATATGTATATATATATATATGTTTATTTGTGTGTGTGTGTTAATATTTATATATATAACAACAGGTATAACTATAAATTAACAATATATTTTTCTTACCTATTTACATAATGTGTGCCCCACAGAATATTCCAGTGCCTGAAAATGTGTCTACCTCAGTCGGACAAAGTGAATTAAATAAAAACAAAAACAGATTTAAGAATATCTGTGCATGTAAGTTTATATATTTTCAATCACAATTGGTATTTAGTAAATACTAAAACATAATGTTCATGCACACACTAAAGATATGTCTACCCCACTGGACAGACGACCACTCTAGAGTACATCTTGAGATCAACCTGGATGAGAACGAGGGAGATTACATCAACGCTTCATATGTTGACGTAAGTTTATTTTCAAACTAAACAGAAACTTGTGATGTTCCATATGCTGCATTTCATCTTATCTGTTACGGTAATGCCCAAGACACATTGGACAGATGACGTAGTCCATCTGTTTAGTTAAAAAACCACGGCATACTGAGTGATAGCTTTTATTGCCCTAACGTGAGTCAGGTAACAATCAGAGTTGGGTGGACTCAGGGTCGGCTACAGACTCGAGCCCAGGATCCGAACTCGAGACTGTCGAGTTAGCAGTCTAGTTTGTATATAACTACTCCTCTTTTAAAAATTTAAAACTTCATTTACAATGCTCATGATAGTAGAAATAAATTCGAAACATAATTTGTCTTTTTTTTTCTCAAAATATTAACAAGAATAGCATTATAAAGAGGTTTTTGTTCCCATTAAATTTTCGTTTAATCCAAACAGGGTTACAAAAGTGATGAAAAATTTATTGCATCTCAAGGTGAGTGAAACGTTTAAGGAATTAATCAATACTAATTTTAAAACAATCTTCTCTTTTACAATTATTGTTCCAGCGTGAAAGAAAAGATTGTCGTAAAATACCAGAAGATAAAATTATATTGAATAGTTTTAGATTTGGATTGTAAGTGTGGTAAAATGAAATATTTTCATGTATTTGTACAAGACAAAAGTATTCTGCGTTGTTTTATTTTAATCATTTGTTGTGCTATAAAATAAAATATGTTCTTACATTTAGAACCAAAGAAGTCATTCACCTTGAATGTATTTAACCATTTGATTTGTCTTGTATTGTGAAATAAAATATTCCCTATGTTTTAGGGCCAAACAAATTTATACTCGGTGATTTTATTTGCATATTGAGGTATTTTTAAAAAATAAAATATTCCCTATGGTTTAGGACCAAAGTTATCCTACAATTATTGTATTCTCATGTTGTGGTAGTTTTTTTTTTAAATATTCCCTATGTTTTAGAACCAAACAAAATTATCCTCAATGATTTTATTCGCATATTGTGGTATTAAAAAAATAATAAAATATTCCCTATGTTTTAGGACCAAACAAAATTATCCTCGATGATTTTATTTTCATGTTGTGGTAGTTTGTAAAAATAAAATATTCCCTATGTTTTAGGACCAAACACAGTTATTCAAAAGTATTTTATTCTCATGTTGTGGTAGTTTTTAAAAATAAAATATTTCCCTATGTTTTAGGACCAAACAAAGTTATCCTCAATGATTTTATTCGCATGTTGTGGGAGCAGAAGACGGATAAGTTGGTCATGTTAACAAATCTCATGGAGGATGGAAAGGTTAGACGGTGCATCCAACTTTTAAAAATACAATAATTCATTGGTCATTTGTATTACTAAGTGTTGATCAACTAACGAATACATACAACATACGATGATTTTAGATTCTCACTGTTTGTGTATGTGTACATACCATGTTATAACACCACACAACACTGTATCACCAGATGAAATGTGAGAGGTACTGGCCAGAAGAAGACGACTTACAGTTCGGCAACATCACAGTAACACTAACAACAACAGAGGTGTTTGCTGACTACACTATCAGAAAACTTAAACTTCAGCAGGTACGTCAACAGTTTACTCTATAGTATAGCAAGCGACAAAATGGCCGTGTATCTGTCACGCCATTGTAAAGATAAACTTTTTGTAATTCCAGAAAGGTCAGCCGCCCCACCCTCTCACACAGTTCCACTTCACGTCCTGGCCAGACCAGGGCGTGCCCTTGACCCCATGGGCACTTGTGGACTTTGAACAGATCGTCTCAGCTGAGAAAACCACCAAACCCATCGTTGTCCACTGCAGGTATGAGCTTAGAGATGGTCAGTGGCACCTTTAACACATGTCAGCACTGCGGTTTGTTAATTTGCAACACACAAATCTAATTTTACTATTTGCATCTGATCACCAGTGCTGGAGTGGGACGTACTGGAACCTTCATAGCTCTACGTCACGCGATGAGAGAAGCTGAGGACACTGGACGAATGGATTTCTTTAAAACTTTAATCAAACTCAGACAGGCCAGAGTCTTGATGATACAGACTGCTGTAAGTTGTGTTGGTAAAACTTTAATCAAACTCAGGCAGCCAGAGTCTTGATGATACAGACAGCTGTAAGTTGTGTGTTGTGTTGATAAAACTTTAATCAAACTCAGACAGGCCAGAGTCTTGATGATACAGACGGCTGTAAGTTGTGTGTTGTGTTGGTAAAAATTTAATCAAACTTAAACAGGCAAGTCTTGTTGATACAGATTGCTGTTAATTTTGTGTTAAATTATAATCAGATCAATATCGATTAGACGTTCTTAGGATAAGAAATAAGAAATTCTGCGTCAGTAAACGGGTTAGTTTCATCTTCCAGGAACAGTACGAATTCCTACACAGGGCAGCAAACGTAGCCATGCTCTGTATCGGAACAACTGTGACGTCTCGCGACATTACAGAGAGAATCAAGTTTTTAAAAACCAACGTTCTCTCTGGTAGGACCTTGATGGAGAAAGAATTTCAGGTAAACAATGTTTTTTGTTTTTCTTCGTGCAATAGTTCAGGAGCAAATAGTCCCAGTGACACCCCCCCCCCTTTCCTAACGTACTCTCAACTTTCCTCAATTTTATATTTTGGTTTTTCGGCTTTGTATATTTAATTAAATAGAGTACTATTTCTACCACAAATAACCAACTGATCTAAATGTTCAGACTGTATGCAGACTCTGTGAACACTTGGTCACAACAAAAGATGAAACTACAGACAAAAATGGAGTGTATCAAAATGCAGAAATCTTGGAGAGTAAAAATAGAAACACCTCCATCTTACCAAGTTAGTTTGTAGCATTCATGTTGCAACTTATGAACCAACATTTAACCAAGATTGTTTTGTTTCACCTCTGTATTTTTGTACCATGTCTGTTCCTTTATTTAAAAAAAAAACGTATCCCTCAACAACCTACATGTTGACAGTCTCTATATAATGTAAAATACTTGTACTGACAGTCTCTATATAATGTAACACAACTTGTGTTTTAGACAACACATACAGAGCTCGCATATCCCGAGGGTCTACAGATATGGATGACTACATTAATGCAGTACTAGTGCCGGTAAGGTCTACCACTCTCTTCAACCTTTGAAATACATTAGACATAGACATTTACGTATATAAATGCTTATGACTTCATGTGTTACCATATTCCCAAGACTTGCAGTAAAAGAATATGTTACGACCAATCTCTATCCTCAGAGTTTCCGCAAGAAAAACCATCAAATACTGACCCAGTTACCCCTCCCCTCTACAGTTGTTGACTTTTATCGTCTGGTCGTTCAGTACAAGGTGGCTGTCGTGTTGGCACTACACGGAGAGTCTTCAGCGCACACGGTACAGTCTTAACACCACACACGGTACAGTCTTAACACTAGACACGGTACAGTCTTAACACCACACACGGTACAGTCTTAACTCAACACACGATACAGTCTTAACACTAGAAACGGTATAGGTCTTAACACACACGGTACAGTCTTATCACAACACACGGTACAGTCTTAATACCACACCCATTGTTTCTTTCAAGCATCTCTTTGCGTGCCCCCCCCCCGGGAAAAAAGTCTATCCCCAACCCCCGAACGAAATGGAAAATGTATATACTCTTAACTTTAAAACACATGATCTCCAGTATTTATTTAACAAAGGTTTAATGGGGAAAAAAGCTATAAAGTCCGAAGACACCTAATAAAAATCGAGTTTTTGCCACATTGTTTCTACCTTTTTTTTTTTATTGATCGTTGTTTCTTCTCCTTTAAAATATTCTGGCTTCATTTAACAGCCTCATTTAATAATAACACGAATAAAATGGAAAAAAAACTGTTGTACAAGAATCGGTTTTGTCAAAATTTTCATAAATAATATTCAATGTTGACATGATTACAGTTAACATTTGTCCCCCTCTAACTATCTGGTGTAGGATGTAGGTCACTATCTACCAGACAACCCCACAGAGCCCCTACATTGCTCTCCATTTGAAGTTACGGTAGGGCCCGCTACTGCTGATAATGTTTGTCAACAACAAACGGTAACAGTGCAAGCAATGGACAGACAATCCAACAGTGAACTTGACGTGAGTTATTCCACTTGAATTAGGTCTTCTAGTAATTACACAAACTATTGATTTGTCAATCTCAATGGAACATTTCCAAAGTTGCATGTTGACGTTTATATTTGGTTCTGGTAGTATTTATGACGCTTTATTCCTACAGAGGGCGCACACTTTCACTCACTTAAAGACGACACTAGCAGCTTTCGATGTTAAGAAACTGCTCAAGATCACCAAGAAAGTTCAGTCCCATTCAGCTAACTCAGATGGTCGTGTCCTGTATATGTGCAGGTATGGTGTACGTTAAATTATATCCCCATCACAACCATATTAGATCGATTACTCAGGTGTAGTTCGATCTCTCTAGTCCTGCTACTTAACACCCCCCCCTCTATACCTGGTAACAACTCTCATCCCCAGCGACGGCGCCCACCTGAGCGGTCTTCTCTGTGTACTCACGCTCTTGCTGGACAGGATGGACCACGACAGGTGTTTGACCGTCCCTCTGGTTGTAGGCAGTGTCAAGGTCATTCGGCCACAGGTCATTTCATCGCTGGTAATACACCATTACAACTTACACCTGTAAACAGTACACTATTAAATGATCACTTCTGATGTATTTTGTGAGCAATCAATACCATATGTTATCCACAGACCCAGTATCAGCTATTGTATGAGGTTTTAGAGAGGTACAACGACACCACATCCACCTACAGCAACTTTGGCGTGGCCAGCCAGTTGAGTGTCCGTGCTGATGACGTCACTATTTATGAGAACAACACAAGTATATAAATATATTCATGCTGGGGTGTTGGCGTGAATACTGTATTGACAAAAGTGATGTTATGATAGTCGCAATAATATAAATACTGCCTTCACAAAAGTGCTGTTATGGTATGGATGCTGTACTTACATGAGTATTGTCGTGACAAGGATGCTGTCCGGATATAATTCATTTCTAGCGATTAACAGACTCATAGTTTACACTAGAACAGATATAACTATAAAAAGGTTAAAACCTAACACCCTACTCCATTCAAGTCAATAATGACAAAAAAGATACAAACTATAAAACAATAAAAATTGATCAACGTTTTAGCCTGATCTGATCTATATTTGTTTGGCTTCCTACACGGAAATTGTATTTACTTGTATTTACTTTCTATTCTTAAATCTGGCTTTGTTTGCTTGTTTGGATGACTTGTCTCAGCTGTTGTACATTTATCTTGTTTTTATCTTGTGATAGAATGTAAAATTTAAATTATGTAAATATCATCTAAAGAAGAATGCCATATATGACAATTGTGATATTTGTTAATGTCTTTTTACGGTGAAAACATTTAAAATTTTATATTTTAGTCGAGCTGCTATTTATTTTGTGGATATATTAAAAACACATTAAAGGAATAACAAAACAACAGTTTCCGACTTGTTTATAGTTCAAACACTTATTTACTTTAAAACAAAAACAGGTCTGGAGTTAGGGCAAGTGAAAATTTACGTAAGAGATTTGGTTTTTATCTCAGGTGGATTAACGGATGGAAGGGGGTAATTTTCATCCATTTTTTGGTGTTTGCATATCTGTGTGTACCCGTATGATTTAAGTAGCTCAATACCTAAGTTAGTATCAAGATAAAGAGAGGCGTGGTCGGAATAGAGCAATGTTAATTAGAAAATTCATATTTGGCTCAGTCATAAATATTACATGTTTACAAGTACTTGTGTTCATTCATATTTTCTTTTCATAAAAGCATCAATCCATAAAAAAACTTTAAACAATTTATTATTTTTACTTTACAATTAATTTCCATTTGGAGCAGTAATAATGGCAGTAACAATAACTCTGCTACACAATGCCAATAAAAACTTACACATTAATATAGTGTACAAGCAGTAGTCTATCACAGTAAATCTACATGACTAATAAGTAGGTCTACACTAAAGCTTTCTTATCGAATAAATAAAAACAATTATTGCATAAGATGTGTATCCCCCCTTTCTTTTACACGATATGGCTGAATGTTAGCAATATTTTGTTGAAAATACTTTTTAGAAAAAATATTTTTTTTGGAAAATACTTGCTCTTGATATCTGTGCTCACTAATGTTAGACTACATTGTCACAGTAGCTTTGGAATCAACCAAACGTTTATTTTGTCTATGCCACATATAACACAAATAAATAAAACTTTTCTACATTTTATACTATTTCAATAAAACTAAAATGTAATTTCTGTAATACGTCACAGTATATTTAGCATTGTATATGCGAATATACACAAAAGTAGGCGGTATTGTTGGCAAAGGAATCCTATCTGCACAAAATATTAAGCATAGTAACAACACCAGAGTACAGTTAAATAAACACATTAAAAATTGTTAGTAAAAATAATATCAACCAATCTTTTTGAGACAACGAGAATATTTTATGTAGCTTTTCTTCTGGTTTCAAACTTGACCCACAATCCATCTGTGGCCTTGGCTTGCAGTTTACTCAGATGTACCGGATACACAGACTTGCTGCACGCTGTTGGCGTGTACCTCTGTACCACGGTTGCTATGGCAACCTTCAGCACCAGCAGCGCCAGTCGCTGACCGACACAGTTCCTGGGACCCTGTCCAAACGGCATGTGCGCGTACGGGTGTCTGGCGTCTTTGTTCTCCTGGGTGAACCTCTCGGGGTCAAATTTGTCCGGCTCCGGCCAGATGTCCGGGTCCGTGTGGAACGCGTACATCGGCACCAGCACTGTGATGTCTTTGGGGAACCGGATGCCTTCTATCTCGATCTCCTGCACACACTTCCGGTGGATAAGGCTGCCCGGGGGGTAGAGCCTGACCGTCTCGTTGATGAACATGTCCAGGTAGCTCAGACCCTGCACGTTCTCGTAGTCCGGTGTGTTCTGGCCGCAGCGGTCATCGACCTCAGCTTGTACACGCTGGCACAGCTCTGGGTGCATGGCTAGCATGAACAAGGTGAAGGACATGACAGTGGCCAGTGTGTCGTACGAGGCGAATATAAAGGAAATGGCCTGGGCCTGAAACAATTTCAAGAGATGGTTGGTGTTTTCTATTACAACATCAAGAACAGACGTCAATGAAAACTATATGTGGAAAGGTATGAGCCTATTTTCAAAATACTTATACTTGACAAATGATATGGCTCGTCTCATCACATTTTCAACTAAAAATTCAAAAACATTAGCTCAATAACGTTACAAGAGCATGTATACGTTTACCAAATGTAGTTAAGTACACACTCACGTGAATCTCAGTTCTAGTCAACTCCTTGTGTGACTCGGTCCTTTCCTCGGCGTTCATCATGAGGTCAAGGAAGTCGTTGACCTTCCCCTCCGTGCCCTCCTTCTTCCTGCCCTCTATGGCAGCGTCCACGACCTGAGCGAAATACTCCATCGACTTCTGTGGCAGCAGTGGAAGTCCCAGCTTAGAGCACCACTTGGACAGCTCTGGGACCAGCAAGAGAAAGACGTACAGAAACGGGTTAGGGTTAAAGACGTTCTTGGCTTCCGTGGCAAACCTGTTCTTTGGGTTCTTGAGCGTGTCCATCTCCAGGCCGAACCCCGTGCTGGCGATGACGTCAAGAGTAAAGCAGGAAGCGAACTCTCTCAGCTCTACCTCCTGGCCAGACTCCTGCATCTGACGCACATTCTCCAGCATGACCTTGGCATTCCTCACCACGTGACCGGACAACTTCTTCAGTCTACTGGAGCTAAAGGTCGGGCTGACCACACTCCTCACGTGCTTCCAACGCTCACCTTGCAGGAAAAGTAGAGTTTCGCTAAACGGAGGATTAACCTCAAAAATGGATGGTCGGTCAATAAAATGGTTGAATTGCTTGACCAGAATTTCTTTCGCCAGGTCTAAATCTTTGACAATCATTGTCGGCCTTCTGAAGTCGTACCATCCATACACCTGTTCAAATTAAAAAATGTAATTGTTTTCTTTAACAAAAAAGCTACAGAATATATCCGGATTATTGCAACTACTAAGACATGTAAACATTTATTTTTAAAAGATATTACGCTGTAAATAATTTAAACGAAAATGTGTGTTCTTAATTTTTTACTTCGCTGGAGTTTGCTGTCAAAAGTAGTATCAGATTAGGCCTACAAATTAATGATAAACGTAAATGTTTTCAACAATGATAGGAAGCACTATTTTCTTTTTGCCAATATAATTAGGCAAGCTTTTCAAAATATAGTGTGACTAATTTTTATATTGTTTGCACAACATATAATTTTAATAAATACTATAAATTTATCGATAAGCACTAATAATGAAATTTTAAAAAACACTTTATTCTTGTTCTATGTACTATGAGCTCTATTACTACTATGTACGAAGAAAAAAACTTCCCCACCTTTTTATGTTTAAACTTGCTGTAGAACACGGTCTGCACGTCAAAGATCCCAAGTTTGATGGCCAGGCCGAAGTTGCCCAAAAACCGATTGGTTGGGGGAGTCTCTATCCCCATCTTCTCAAAGATGCTCAGGTCGATGGAGAAGAATCGAAACAAGAGGAAAACTACAATGGCCACAAGGGCGAGTGTGATGTACAACATTCTTGTCTAGGAACTCCTGTATTAGAAAATAGAAGCATAAATCAGATGGTTTGGATGTTTTGTTAGCCGAGAAGATAAATGATAGTATGAAATCACCACAAAATAAAACTATTATATAAAACTATTTATGTCATCAATTCTCTGTAACATATAACATGGTTAGGGTCTAAGTTTCCAAATTATCACTGGGTTTTCATGATATTAATGATATTATTTTCTACAGTAAAATCGAGTATGGTGTAGTAAGTCTGAGCCAAATGAAATGTTAAAACCATATTAGAGGGGAGATAAGTTGTCCGGAATGAACGTGTGTGGACCAGTGTTTCTTTCAGACTTATTACACGGGGGGGGGGGGGGGGGGGGGGGGACGAAATGGAATGTATATAGAAAACATTTACTTTTACCAGTTTCCGCCTCTAAAATCAAGTGCCACCCCCCCTCCCCCCCCCTTCCCCCCCGAGAAAAAAAAAGTGTGGGAGAAATACTGGCAAAAGTATATAGATTCTATTTTTAATATAAATTCTATTTCCTTGAGGGGTGGGGGAGTCTACCCTTCTCTCCCCATCCCACCACTACCCCATCCCGAAGAGATGCCTGAAAGAAACTCTGGACGACAGAAGGTGAATAATTCAACTTTCCGATGACGTCAAGAATAGATGACACAAAGTATTTATAACTTTGTTATTAGTTATTATTGAAACTACTTGCAAAATAAAGCTTATCGTATTAATACTGTAACGCATCTAGATCTACAAAGTAAATAACCGGACCAGCTTAGTAAAAAAAAAATTACAACTACCATGCAAAAGCTAACTTACTACCTCAGGGCTGAAACAAATACAGAAAGAATTCCAATAATCGACCAAACAGTTACAAGTTTAAAGCAGCAAACACGGCACAGTCCGACTCTACACACAGGTGTTACATTCTGCTAGCAGACGGCACGGTGAGGTCAGAGTGTAAAGTACAGGCCGACACGCGCAACACACTTAGCACACAGCTGTCCTGGTGACGCTTGTAAACATCCGGTCGGCCAATGTTTACATTTAACTTTGACCTAATTAGCACAGTACGGGAATCAATGATAGTAGTTTAAGTTTTAGAACAAAGGGGACAATGACAAACATGAGCTCATCAATGAACAGAATAACTAGGCTAAACAATTTAATTATACACTTTGGAATGTATTAGTCTAGGGCAAGGGTCGGCAACCTTTTGATATGCAAGAGCCAATAGTTACAATTTACAAACTTTCCCAGTTTTTAAAGAGCCACAACATTTTTAGTTCAATATTCGGTATTTGATTAGGATTAGGTAAATAAAGTTGATTTGTTATTTAAAATAAATAGTTTTAAATATGAAATAATATTTATTCATATAATAACATAGGCATGTTTCGCCAGAATAGTAAAATTAGTAATCAAAGGACTAGGACTATCTCAATCCACTTTAGAAGCTGTTAATTTTTATTTTATTTTTTCTTTACGGATATCACCGGCTCAGGAGGTGTCTTCCATTAGCCAGTCAGGCCTCAACACGGCAAACGCCGACTAACTGGCTTGCAGAGGCGTAGCGACCCCTCCCGGCGCCCGGGGCGAACTTTCCGTTTGGCGCCCCCCCCCCATATAAATATATATATATATATATATATATATATATATATATATATATATATATATATATATATATATATATATATATATATATATATATGTATGTATGTATGTATATAAATGTGTGTATGTGTGTGGGACAGTCCGGAAAAAAGATTAATAATTACGCTGTATGATTGTCGTTCCCTAAAACTTTACTCGACGCCAATTAAATTCCCACTAAGATGCAATATCCTTGAAAAAAAATTTGTAATGTCAGAAAAAAAATATTTGTACAAGTTGCTAATTCGTTTAGGACAGTCTTTTTATGTTTTATCTTTGGAGCAATCTCTGTTATGAGATGATATAGTACATAGTTGGATTATAAGTTTATTAGATTAAGGTCATACTATTGACTTACAATAGCAAATTGTGTACTCATTAGAATACGATTTGGGTATTTCGTTGACTGGTTGACTGTATAATGAAAGAAGCTAGAGAAAACATACTGGAATCCAACGGACACAACAGCTCGAAGTCTTAAATTTATCAGATGTGCGCTGCCTTCTCGCACACAGCCAACAACAAATTCAGAACTAATTGTACAGGTTTAAGAAGCTGTAGTAACCGGTTTAATGATAGTAGCTGACGCCCGTGACGTTCAGATTAGAATCAGCAGCGATAAAATGTGTATTAGTATTAACATTCTAAGTCGATGTGTCAAAAAAAATTCAGTCATGCTCTATAGCTAAATATGAAATATCTTTTACTGTACGGCTCGGAGCTAGGTCAAAGACAGTGGAGAATGAAAAGATTATGGTTAGGACACAATATGAGACAGACAAAAAATAACATCACTATGCAGGTGCTTGAGTGAAGTCCACGGGGAAAGGTGAAGAGAAAAATACTAAATAAGTCCTGAAGGAAATCGTTTAAAATAGAGAAGGGGAGGCTGGATTATTAGGGTTCGATCTTCATAAAAATCAAGTGAGTTGACGAAGTGTTGCCTACGCCTATGCCCCTTATGAAGCCGAAACGAATAAAAAGAAGAAAATCAAAAGAGTTTAGAACAGTGGGTTCCATCGAACCTAAGAGGTTCCGTAAGTCAGTCTCAGGGCTTTCGTGGAGGTCCAGACTCACAATTGGTTTCTTTTCTAAGTGTTAAAAGAGTAATCTAGTCACCGATCCACGCTTTTTGTTGGTGAGCCCCCCCCCCTACCACCATCTTGGACAAAAATGGTAGAGCGAATTTTAAACGTCACTAACTCTTTTTTTATGTTACACAATCGTAAAATAAGCTTTAGTACAATGGGTTTCTTTTCTGAGTGATATCGGTTATTTATTCCTTAATCTGGTGTGAATTTTTCCGATTTAGTCTTCAAAAAAGCGCCCCCCCCCCCCCCCCCCATCCAGGAAAGCTGGAAAGCGGTCTTTCCGGTCACTGTTTCTTAAGAATATACGTTTTACAGTTAAACAATCAAGGTAGAAAATAGTTAAATCATAATGCAAAGGCTTTCAGCCGTTATATTTATTTACTTTGACTGTTTATAATTCAAAACTGCAGCTTAAAATGAGCTTTTAAAAAAAATTTGAACCACTTTTGGCGCCTTCCTAGGGTCGGCGCCCGGGGCGGCCGCCCTCCCCGCCCTCCCCTAGCTACGCCTCTGCTGGCTTGGATATCGGTTTGAATAACTTGCATCGTTCGCTTCTATCCTTTGGTTCTCACCAGGCTTACCTTCCATCCCACTGAACGCAGGGTAAACTCGTAACCCACCGTCCATTAAAATTGAAATTATATAACTATTAATATTTGTGCAAGGAGCTGGAGAGCCGCATCTAGACGTCAAAAGAGCCGCAGGTTGCCGACCCCTGGTCTAGGGCAGTCTAGGCCCTATCAAATCTGTAACTATAATATAGTGATAAAATTGTTTAAGCTATAAATTGACGAATGTCTTTTGAATGTCGATTCTAATTTCAATATTGCTAAGTCGTCGATAAATATTAAACAGTAAATATCACATGCACATACAGCATACACATATAGAGCTGACGCACAGTACTTGCACATTCTGTATTCACATAGCACTTGCACATAGAATATGCCCATACAAGAGACACGTCACCCTGACTAATAAAAGACACATGCCACAGCCGAATGGAACAGGCACGTAGCGCATTTAAAAAGCAATTTGTCAATCCACTGAATTACATTATATAAAAATATCACCGTCTCCCACTAAGCTGTGTGTGTGTACTAAGTTCACGTCTTGACTTGTGTGACGTGTGTGTTGTCAAGTGTTGACGTGTGTGGTCAAGTGTTGACGTGTGTGGTCAAGTGTTGACATGAGTTTATGGTCAAGTGTTGACATGAGTGTGTGTGGTCAAGTGTTGACATGAGTGTGTGTGGTCAAGTGTTGACATGAGTGTGTGTGGTCAAGTGTTGACGTAGTGGTCAAGTGTTGACTTGAGTGGTCAAGTGTTGACATGAGTGTGTGTGGTCAAGTGTTGACGTAGTGGTCAAGTGTTGAGTTGAGTGGTCAAGTGTTGACATGAGTGTGTGTGGTCAAGTGTTGACATGAGTGTGTGTGGTCAAGTGTTGACATGAGTGTGTGTGGTCAAGTGTTGACATGAGTGTGTGTGGTCAAGTGTTGACATGAGTGTGTGTGGTCAAGTGTTGACATGAGTGTGTGGTCAAGTGTTGACATGAATGTGTGTGGTCAAGTGTTGACATGAGTGTGTGTGGTCAAGTGTTGACATGAGTGTGTGTGGTAAAGTGTTGACATGAGTGTGTGTGGTCAAGTGTTGACATGAGTGTGTGTGGTCAAGTGTTGACATGAGTGTGTGTGGTCAATTGTTGACGTGAGTGTGTGTGGTCAAGTGTTGACATGAGTGTGTGTGGTCAAGTGTTGACATGAGTGTGTGTGGTCAAGTGTTGAAATGAGTGTGTGTGGTCAAGTGTTGACATGAGTGTGTGTGGTCAATTGTTGACGTGAGTGTGTGTGGTCAAGTGTTGACATGAGTGTGTGTGGTCAAGTGTTGACATGAGTGTGTGTGGTAAAGTGTTGACATGAGTGTGTGTGGTAAAGTGTTGACATGATTGTGTGGTCAATTGTTGACGTGAGTGTGTGTGGTCAAGTGTTGACATGAGTGTGTGTGGTCAATGGTTGACATAAGTGTGTGTGGTCAAGTGTTGACGTAGTGGTCAAGTGTTGACTTGAGTGTGTGTGGTCAAGTGTTGACATGAGTGTGTGTGGTCAATAGTTGACATAAGTGTGTGTAGTCAAATGTTGACATGAGTGTGTGTGGTCAAGTGTTGACATGAGTGTGTGTGGTCAAGTGTTGACATGAGTGTGTGGTCAAGTGTTGACATGAATGTGTGTGGTCAAGTGTTGACATGAGTGTGTGTGGTAAAGTGTTGACATGAGTGTGTGTGGTCAAGTGTTGACATGAGTGTGTGTGGTAAAGTGTTGACATGAGTGTGTGTGGTAAAGTGTTGACATGATTGTGTGGTCAATTGTTGACGTGAGTGTGTGGGGTCAAGTGTTGTCTTGAGTGTGTGTGGTCAAGTGTTAACATGAGTGTGTGGTCAAGTGTTGACATGAGTGTGTGTGGTCAAGTGTTGACATGAGTGTGTGTGGTCAAGTGTTGACATGAGTGTGTGTGGTCAAGTGTTGACATGAGTGTGTGTGGTCAAGTGTTGACGTGAGTGTGGTCAAGTGTTGACATGAGTGTGTGTCGTCAAGTGTTGACATGATTTTTTCTTTGGTTTATTTACATTTGGTGTGATTAACCACTCTACTGTGTTCAAAACATTGTGGATTTCAGATTTTTCCAATTGGAAATGTGTTGTTGAAATATATATAGCGCTTCAAAAGTTCGTCTTCTGTCGTTTCCCAATTTTTTATATGCAAAATTGAAGTTGCTATAGCTATTTTTTACAATCCAAAATATTATTATAATACTTTTCACTTGATTAAATTTATTTCAGTAACTTGAGTAACAATAACTCTGTTGAGCAATGTATCAAAATAAAAAACACAATTACCTCCCATTAACATGAAAACTGAAAATCTGCCTTATGATCTGTGGTTACTGCCTACAGCCTACATATAAAATTTGGCGCCTAGCTCTAGTCTTAGGTGGCATTAATTACTTTGTATTGCACCAATTATGATATCGAATTTTATATACCAAAACATCTTCTAAATGTAATGGCATTAAAAAATCATTATAGCTTCTATATTGATTTCATTTTAATATGTATTCGGAAAATATTGTTTCTTTTAAATGAGTTGTTTTAAAAACTTGTTAATTTCACGTGAATGTTGTTTCATTGATACTTAAGTTTATTTTCTATAAAACACCAATGGAATGGTAAGCAAGGTTTTACATTTTTTTACACTAAAATAA